GAAAACCATATATCTTGATTGTAGGTCTGCTTCTAAAATGTATTGATTTTTCTATAATTGATTATGATAGTCTGTGGCTTTGGCGTTTGATCTAAGGCCTACACAGCTGTATTTGTGTGCTGTCTTGTGCTTATGTGACTTGACCGTTACAGCAGTATAAAGACTTAGCTGTGGAGAGTTATTCATGTGAGGACAGCTCTCATTGACCCGTCAGCTAACAGCCAGCTCTGCCAGGACACAACCTTTTTTTTTTTTACACACTCCCTCATTTACTAATCAGAGACTCAAGGAGGGCAGAGAATATAATAAACTCATGTTTGTTTATATTTATTAGTAATTCAGTTATTACTATTGTAATCTTGTATAGACAGCAAGAAGCATTTTATTTGCTCGTGCATTTAGTATTTGTCTTGGTACAACATTGACATTTATGGTGTATCTACAAGTTACTAGGTACTATAATTGTCATAGTGTCTGTGAACATTCAATCTGCACTAGTGTCTCCAGCCAGTAAACATCATGCTTCCCTGACATGTAGGCATCCTTTCATTAGAAATCAACAAGAAACTTAAGCTAAGTTTGATCAAATGTGACTGATAGTGTAGCAGCACTGCAAAGATCTGCCATCATCCCTCACCTCGCAGCATGCACACTCTGTCATCTCGACATCGCCATCATTCAGATGGAATTAGAAATACCGCCTCTCTTTTGAAACAGGCTTGCTCACAGTGCTTATATAAACACATATCCTACATTTTAAATGTTTCTTTGTGTGTGTGTGTGTGTTGCAAATCAGCGGTTGTATTTATTTCTCCCAAGAGCACCTGGAACTTGGATTTAGTATCACCCCCTGAGCACTGCTGAAATTTAAGTTCAGGAGCAGTGGAGGGCAAATAGTGGAAATAAAAGCAGAAGCCGTGACGATGGCTACACCTTAAGTTATGGGTTGCTATAGTTGAAAAGGTGCTGGTCTTCCAAGTGTTATTGGGAATGTGATACCTGTAGGTTTCAAAACAGTCAAGAAGAGACAATGAGGGAAAGCTAAGTTTCAAAATGATTGAGTTCCGGTTCATGGAAAAGTGTAGAAAAAGAAGTGAAGCAGAGAAATGTGCTTTTCTTTTTTCTTTTTTTTTTATCCGAGGCAAGGTCAGGAGCAAAGAGAAGGGGGAGAAGTAGAAGTGAAGGGGTTTGATTCAAGATAAAGGTCCTCAGGTTTTGCAGCAATACAGTCTTCACCTGAGGGTGAGGGTTATTTCATCAGAGAGCCACAGTGGTGCAGGAATTGTGCAGGGTGACTGATAGCAAGGTTGTAGGAGTGGGAGAACTAATCACCTGCAAACAGCAGAACACATGGCAGGAGGTAATCTGGTGTAAGCAGATGTGTTTTTTGCAGTGCAGATCAACACGAAGGAATAACAGCTCATTAAATGAGCTCTAATATTGTCAGATAAAGGGCACAAAGAACAGGCAGTGTGCAAAAGCTCATAAAAGACGCTTTTAAAGCCTTTTAGAGTGTCTGGTGATAGAGGCGTGATAATCACATGATATTTAATCATGCCCAGAAAAGAAAAACATGGCTTTTGTGCACTGTAACCCTCTGTCAGCTATGAAAGATGTAACTATATTCAGTCAGTTCTATGCTAAGCAACAGAGAACGATAAGTAGAGAAAGAACTGAACAACGGTCGCTCTAACCACGATGTCACTTCTGACTCCTTATAGAGAGAAGTCTTTTGAGGTGTTTCTCAGCTGTACTTTCTGCTTAAATGTCACCACCAATGTCTCAGCATCCAATTTAATACACTTTTTTTGTCAACATCATTAAATATACTAATCTAACTTTTTCAGAACATTTGGGGAAATGTGGAACTGTGCAAGAATCATCATGTGTTTGCTGTGTAAACACAGTAAATGAACGGTGCCAGTAGCTTGTTGGAAATAAACCCCATGTTGATAAATAGTTTTACCTTGTAAGGCTTTATCAAAGTAGTATTTTATTCCTACATACTTCTGATGCATTTAGACAAACATCTGTGTCTTTCTGTGCAATGTAAAGGCTAACAATTGTCAGTAGGAAGGGGAGACAGAATGACCAGTGTAGGATAATTAATGAATGGGGGAACAATGAGGAGAGAACATTTAATGACTAAGTGCAGTTTGGACGACAGGAGAACCAGCTGTGCAAACCCATTTTCAGGTGTGAAGGGGGCAGTTCAGTTGCTTTGCCCTGCTTTGAAAGAAACTCTTGGCTATGTCCGGGTGCCACTGTGGCAGTCTGTGCCCCTGTCCCACCAGTTCACCGCACCAAGTACTTAGACTCCAGTCTAAACAGCTCGCTGGGTTGTTTTAGGAGGCTGTATTGCTTTTGCCTGCTTAAGTCTCACTTTCTCGATTTAGCTCAACTCAATGTACAAATGAAATATGGTACTGTAGTGCCCTACATCCCCTACAGCCCCTAAATCAAATGCAATTAAATGTCAAAACTGAAAGGAAATGTGCCATTGATTGATGTGTCCGTAGTTCAAGTGCAGTAATGGCCTCCTCCTCAAGTGGAATATTGAAAATCTACATGCTTGGTTCTTGGCATTCATGGTTCCACATGGAAAACAGTTTCAAGTTGTTCTTTTTGTAGCCCTCGGCTCTCTTTCCCAGTTTGTGTCCAGATATTGTTTGGCTCTATGTAAAGCATAATTGTGTCAACAGACACAGTAGATGAGACACCAGACCTTTTGATAAGTGCTTTCCCACAAGGTAAACTTGGCAGACGAAGAGGGAGCAAGCATGCAAACAAACCAGTAGACAGTAATTTTCCACCGTCTCTTACATTTTAATGAGGTTGATGGATTAATGCCTCACTTTGTTAAAAGGCCACTCGGAGAGCTCCAGTTAAACCTGTTCTTCTCTATCAGTGGCCAGCTTATCACGTCACTAATGGTCACTTGCAAGTCCTGACCCCTCTGCTTCCACTTCATTTTTTCCATCTAAATGTCATTGTCGTAGATGGCCGCTTTCTCCCAGTGGAAAGTAGCCAACTCCCACAGAAACATGGGTCATGAGAGTAAATGGTTGAACACATAAGCTCTTAAGTGTTGTTTCTGATTGCCAAATGGCAATTGAGCTCCCTGGTAGGCACTTAGCACGGCCAGAATGGTCTTCGTGTGTTGAGTGAGGCAAGTGTGTGTGCATATGTTTGAAACAGTTGAGCTATTTTTAATGTCAGGTGACCTTTGTCCCTGTGTACATCTTGGAACAAATTTAAGGTACGGCAATAGACTCGGTTGTTTATGACCAAATTACAAACTGGCTATGTGACGGCACATACCTAGGCACTGCCCTGCATAAACCAAACAGAATTTCCAGTAGGTGAGAAAGCGCCTGGCACGGACCATCGCTTGTTGTGTGCTACATGTGTGAAAGAGCAACTCCGGACAAGTTCCAGGCCTGATTCCACAAGCAGTGTGTGGAAACAGCAGTTGATTTCCTTCATTGCTCAGTGTTACAATTTCCAGATGTTTGTGAACATGCCTTTTTTTATCATATGGCTATATTTTAAGGCGAGGACCATAGGAGAGAGATCTAGTTTCTTAGTGGACCCGGGATTGCGAGGTGCATCCTCAGTAACAGTTTGTGCTTTAAACTGTGCTGTTATCTTTGAAAACATTGGTTGACTGCCTGAATCGACTATCACTGTTTTGTTTCTAAGTACGTTTTCACTGGTGTTAGCATTATTTAGAGTTGCTTAATGGACACTGCCATGCTCCGTCCCTGTCTGTGATTAGTGTCCTGCCTCCCAGGCTCTTATCAGGGCACACACAATGCACCACTGCCTGCTCTTGTTCTTCTCTTCTTCACAAAAGGGACCGTTGGCTCAGCTAATGCCTCTCAATATCAGAGTTTTATCCCATTTTTCATCCTGCATTTTCTCTTCAGACTTGCTCCTCAGTGGATTTACACTCTCACTCACAAAGACACACACCACCTCTGAGCTGAATATCACTGTAACGTGTCTTCCCTCTTGGTTATTGCCTCTGTCCGCTGGCTTTGTGTGTATGGCCTTTTGTATCATTGCATTTACTGTGATTACATGAGAGCAGAGGAGGCTGGGCGACTGATCTTTGGAGTGAAGGAATGGTGCAGTACACTCTGCAGCACCTAAGCTCTACATCAGCCTTTGCTGGAATGTGTAACATCCCTGTCTGATGGCAAAAATGCATGTAATTATTTCTTGTTTTTTATAAAACGTCATCAGTTTGCGCTGCTCATAATAGTTTAATGCTGCACATCTCGAGTCTGTGTGCAGCGGTAATTTTGTTTATGACTCTCAGTTGAGCGCCATTTCCCCATTTTCTCTTTAGTGAAAATGTTAATTAACAGCTCAGAGCATATGGAGCTGTTAACATCACCAGAGTACCTTCATAGATGTTTGATTGGTTGGCTGATGAACACAGTATTTAACACTGAATGGAAAAGCTCATGTTTTGCAACTAAGGTTTTTTTTTTTTTTCTTACACAAATAATCTTTATTTCAACCAAATAATGAATCTGTAACACCACATTTAAATTGACAGCGATTTAAAGAAGGTAGATTTGTATATTTGAGAGCCACCACCTGTGTGGTCTTTGTACTTGGTTAATCATTTTAATTATTAATGGATTATCCAAGATGACTCTTGTCTAATTGTGTAATTGTTGTAGCGCTCATCTCCCTTCTGAAACTTTTATGATGTGGAGTGTACACTACCTGTTTCTGTCATTTTTACTGCATCGGGTGCTGAGTATTACTGAATACAGCTTTTTAATAGGACAGTATTGTACTGTTGTGTTTTACACACCGTTTGGACTAACTGCTTTTCTGTGTTTAACTATTCTGTAGAGGTTTAGTGGTAGCGTTACAGTGGAGCCTTTTGTTTGAAGCTCTTATCACATGCAAAGGTATATATCAGAGTACAGAGAGGGAGATTATCTTATCTGGTAGCTGACTTCATTTTCTTGTGTTTTTAGGTGTTTGGTGATTATTATCACTTCCGGCATCGTGCAGTGGTGAAGAGATCGCTGTCAAATCACAGGTTGACACAAGTCCGTCTGGAAAGAGATCCCAAGGTAAGACGTTTATTTCGGGGGCTATGATTAATGGCCGTGTGTTCATGGTGGTGGATGATTTGTATTGATTTTTTTTTTCCATGCTTTACTGTGGGGAGAAATTGTGTGTGGTGTGGGGGGGCAGACCAAAGTAGTAATTATTTTTGTTATGTTTTGTCATTTTTGGTGAAAATATGATAGTTTGGAGCATACTGACTTTACAGATGGATAGCGGAGAGGTGTGGGGGAGTAGGGTGTGGGGGTGGTTTGTGAAATTTTTATGATACAGTATTTTCACTATGAAATTGCAAGTAATATAATTGTGACAAATTTAAAAAAGTCTTCTGAAGCGCTTGCAGATGATAGGACTGAAAAGTGGTTTTTAATATTGACTAATACTGACTTTTTAATATTGGAGGCTGTCGATGTACAACACTTGGGTTGTTTTACTTTGAGTTCATATGTAATCCTTATGCAAATGACCTGAACATTGGTGAATGCTTCACAACTCATGGTACAAATGTTCAATATTATAACTGGTTCAGTGTTATGGCTTTTATGTGATGATATTAAACTTGATTTTTTTTTTTATTAGAACTGTATGGGGGGTTATCAGTTTAAGTCTCAAGCTGTTTATTCTAAGATGAATCTAAATCTTTTCATCCCTTTAATCTAAAGTGATGTTAGGTTTGCATTCAGTCACCACAGCTTGTGACTGAATGTAGTGCAGATGAGAAGCAGAGTAGAGATAAAGAATCAAACCTTCATTTGTCACCATCTGTGTTTTGGCTGTCTCAGATGAGGCACAGCATCCACATTAGCTGTTTGTCCTTTTACCTGAGTGGTCGGAAGTGAGCCCATGCTTCCCCATGGATGCTCCCCAGCTACAAAGCCTCCTGTGAAAATAGTTCCTCCTCTGTGTCTGATCCAAATTAAAAATTTCACATTTCATGTTTTCTTGCTGTTTTGCAAGAGAGTTTGAGATTAGTTTGAAAATGTGTCTGTGTCCTACCCTGTTGGGAAGGACAAAGACAAGAGTGTGAAATTAGCATTCATGGCATGGTACAGAGCATGTGGCTGAGACAGAGCATGTATGAGCACTTTGAAAGGAACTTGTATCAGAAAACCACTGAGTGAAACAAATTGAAAACTATTAACAAGAAGAAGAATAGTTTTAAAGGCCTTGGGACCTTTTCCAAGTCTACTTAACTAACCTGTACATAACTCATTGGTTTTCTGAAGAGTGGTTGTGAAGCTCAAGTCTGACCTTCACCATATTGGTAACGCTTCACTCCGCCTGTTACGGCTAATCCAAAAATGGGAAAAGGTGGAGCATGAGTGGAGCTCGCTAGACAGCTAGCAGCTAGCCACCTAAGGCAGGGCCCTCCTGCGTCAGTCAAAGCTGCCACACTCTTAATTATGCATAACCTTTACTCTCAATGTAATATAAACAGGTGTGTTATAAAAATTCACCACCCGTGCAGTTGTCATGGAAGGGGAACTTAGCTATAGAGAACTGTTTTCGTACCAGGCTGTAAGTAAATCATGTTTTTTTTTTTTTCTTGCTGTAAAGATGGGCACTTTAACAGTAGTGCCTATGGGGACTGACTGCCTTTTGGAGCGAGCCTCAAGTGACCATTTGAGGAGCTGCAGGTTTTGGCACTTCCGCACTGGTTTCAGTTCTCAGCCTCGGAGGTTGCCTCTTGGCGAAATACTAAAATTGCTAAATAACTCAACATTGGACATCAAAATAGCTTCTGGCTGTGGACAAACTATGTCACAGCTTTACATCAAGGGTTTCCTATTATATTTTGTGCACTATTCTTTACTGTTGTGTGTAATAAATGTAGGTTAGGGTATTGTTATGTGTGGAGAGTTTGGACTGAGTTTAGACAGCCTCTCTTCAGTCCTAGCAACATGAAAAGTTTAAATGTCAGTTTCTGTTGACGGCAGTACTTCTGAGCAGCTGTAGCTGTTAAATGTTACTGAAACAAAAACAGTCACTTTAATAAATAAAAAACAAAAAACCCAGAGCAGCCTTTCTTGCATTGCTCACTGACACTCACTGTCATGTGGAAACAATTCATTGGAACTGCTGGCTGCAGTTTATTTGTTTGTGTTCATCCATGGTTCACTGACTGACAATGCTGTCACAGCAGCAGGAGAACGATTAAAGGAGCGTAGTGGGGGGGCATACCCAGAGCACCCACAATGGCTTTTAGCAGGGCTTCTCAAAGTCTGGACTCCGGTCCGGATCGGCAAGTCAATGCGGACTCAGCCCACACCTCCTATTAGAAACGCAATAATACAATATAGTGAAGTGTATGTTTACTACTTTGAATTTTTTTTAATACTTATCAATAAATTTAGTTTTGTAGAATCTAGACAGTTTGGCGATCATTACAGTGATAAGTCTAAACATAATCATTTTCCTGTTAGACATTGTCATGGCAACTTTGACGGCCAGCGAGCGTTTGACGTTTAATGTAAACTAAGTTAGCTAACGGCTAACAAGCGTTCATGTCTGTTTTGTAGGCACGAGAAAGCTTTTAGGTGATAAGCAGGTTTAATAAAAGTCTTTTGCTTATCCTTAATCATTCTGGACATTTGACATCGAATAGAAATCAGATTCAGACCATTGAATAGTAAGTTTAAGAATGCCTGGCTTATAGTGAAAAACTGATCTGAAATAACTCTGACTTTATACAGCCAATAGTGATTGCTTGACTCTGTTGCTGATTCAGCAGAATGACTCATGCACCTCTGCTCTGTCACCGACTAGTCTTTGGGTTCTTTGTCTCCACTGATCTGAGCTCCTTTCTGTGTTATACCAGCTGTTGAGAGTAGTGAGAAAATGTTTCACACCACTTCCCATTTCTCAGCTTTCTCACACCACAGTCTTTTCTTCTTTGTGTCTCTGTAAACTCTAAATTTAGATCAACATTTGTACAATTCTGTTCTGTCATTTTGGTAAATGGAGAATTTCAACTACAGTTATAGTTATTTAGAATAGTCTCCATATAAATCTGCATAAGTGCAACTATAGGAGCATTATATACATGAAAACTAATCTGCTCCCATAAAACAAACCATTGATGGTGTCTGCCTTAAGGTACCACTGGCCATGCAGCTCCACAGCTCCACAGCACAGATGCATACAGTACTGGGATTAGAGGCACTTCTGCTGAGGTTGTTTGCGTCCATTTTAGAAACAGTCCACCTCCCTCTTTGGGTTTCCTTTAACGCTATGGCTTCTTTTCCTGTTGTTGAATTCTTTTTTCCCCTGCATCTCAGGGAAAGTTGAGCGCTACAGGTCCAGATCCTCATGGCTGTTCAGTCCATTTGTCAGCACCTACAGGAATTTTGCAAGATGTTAGTTATTACATGTTTTTATTCAATCAAGGGAGCTTTGAAAATATTACAGTAACTTAGTGTTTACAAAATCCATGTGGTTTTTGTGTATCACACTTTCTTCTCTAAACATTAATGCATTTCTGTAACTGTGCTCCAATTACATCTGAAGCCAGCAGATTGCGAATTTGATTCGCATTCACATCAGTGGCACAGCTTTTCTAAAAACATTGCAGAAGTAGTTCTAAGAGGAGAAATTTTGAATCTTAGAGAGACTGCCTCTGGTTGAAATGAAGCCTAAACAAAAGGCTTGGTAAACTCTCTTTGAACAGTGTCTAATTACTGTCAAATGCACCTGGACCTCTGCCAGATCTCAGACCAGCTAACACAGACCTGCTAATAGGGTCTATTGAAGATTTAAAGCATCGGCCTATCTGCTACCTCCATGACTTTGACTGTCTTTGTTCAGTTGTTGCTTTGTTTGGTTCTGTGGGCACTTTGCTTTGTGTCAGTGCTTTTGTTTGGTTAGTTAAAAAACAAAGAAGTAATAGGACAGACTCTGCAGAACAATGAGTGGATCCAGAAACAAACCCAACTATCGTTTGTTTGACTCTGGTGGAGGCTTTTATTTTTATTTTCATTATTATGGCAAGAATAGTAGCAGCTGTAACATAAAAAAGCTTTAGCATCAATATATAAATGACCAAGCTACTAATCTGTACTATAATTGGTATTAGGTTTATGATAATGGTGCTTCATTTGAGATCTCCATTTGGCTTTAGAGCGTGGATGCTGTGTTTGTATAATGAAGAAGGACAAAGCAGCGAGTGAGCAGAATGAGTAGAGCGGGGAGTCTGTTTCTCGGACTGATAGGACCCTGCACCTAAACACAAACCGAGCAGTCTATTTGTGAGCATTAGTTCTGCACTGGGTCGGTCTGGGCGTCTGAGATAGAAGCAGTTTTTTATTTTTATTTTTATTTTATTTTCAAAGCCCATTTATAATGAAAGTGCTGTTTGCCAACTTCTGGGGTGCTGTGTTCTGTCACAGACTGTTAACGAATTTCAAAAGACTCTTCACATGAAAATTGCAAACTAGAAAATGGAAATGTTTATAGTGACACTCCTGCCAAAAATAGGATATCTGTTCAGTATGAATTATTAATTTGGTGGTGAGAAATATGACTTGTATTGTTTCTTGTTCCTGTTTATTCTGGATATAAGGATTGAAGAGAAAAATTTGTTGGAACTGAGGACTTTTATGTGTCCAAGTCCAATTCCATAGTTTATTTTACAGGATAGACACTGACATGCAATTTTTCAAATGGCTGGAAAAGTATTATAGGGAGATGCATTTCCCTATCCACTGATTAAAAAGAGACCACTTCTCATCTGTATTAAAAAACACAGCACTACTGATGGAAATTGGCCAAGTTTAGTCTGTACAGTTGTATGATTTACAACTGATCAACGTGCTTTATGATTAACTTTACAAAATGTGCATACTGAAATTATGTACTGCTTCCCACAGGAGAAGTTAAAGCGTTTCTACTGCTTTCAGGAAGTTATTTTCCCCAAAGTCGACTGAATCTGCATCGTCGTCTGGGTACAAAGTTTATGACACCACTAATCATTTGTCTCATTTCGTTACGACTCGGACTAAAGCAGTCTTCTCTAATTCATGAATTGGTGGAAATCATGCCTTTGCTATGTTTTGATGGACATTTCCAGTAACTATTAAGATGACTGCCTGCTGAAATTAGCTGGAAATAACTGGTGTTACTGACAACAGTGATTGTAGCTACTGTACTGGCATTAATCAGCATGATTGCTAATACAGCTATGATTGAGTAGTCATGTTATTATCCACCTTGCCTGCTGTTTCAACCTGAATGGGACGTGTTTGTCACTGCCGTTACTGTTGTCACCTAACAAGAACAGTTTTTTAAATGTTCATATCACAGTAAGACCTTTGAGAGACAAATCAAATGTTTTAGATTCAGTTAATGCAGTCCTAATTTTAAATGTTGGCATAATTTTCTGTCAGAGTTGTTGTACCAGTCGTTCTAGTTAGACCAAGTAACACTTTGTATAGAGCTCAAGTAGGAATAGAAGCCGTCACATTGTCAGGGAGGTCACAAACAAGATTGCGGTGTACACCATGTGTTGCAGTGATAATGAGAAAGTTTAAGGAGCAGATTTGATGCAAGATGAGCTACACAATGCAGCCAACAGTCTGTTGCTTTATACCTTATACATAACTTCCTGTGTTGCTTCAGACAACAAATATTGTGCAAACATTGCATTTTTTCTTTCTCTTTTTTTTTTTTTTTTTTTTTTTTTTTAAAAATAATCCTGTCATGTTTGAACAGCATCGGCATGGAGATGTTCCAAAACAGAGACTTCCTCTGTGAATGTGTGAAAACCAGATTTCATGTGTGGTAGAAAAGCAGATCAGCAAACACAAGAGGGGAAGTCACATACACGCTACCTTATAACACAAGAGGAAATGTCTTGTTTCTGCAGTATCTGACTGTAAATCACATGGGTTACTATAATGGATTGGGTCCCTGCATCCATACATCTGTCTGACTGTAGAGATCCTCCCAGTCAATACTGGCATTTTTTTAAAAATAGAAAGCCAATAATAAAAACTGTCTGAGAGATGCACTTCAGCAACTCCCTTTCAGTCTCTAAACTGTCCTGTCAATTTTCCACCCTGTCTCAAGCTAATGAGATGTAGTAATTATATCATATCAATTGTATCAGGACTAGGTTTGTCACACTCGAGGGATGCGAGTAAAATGTTCTCCATATGACTTGGCTTAAAAAAAATGCCGGTGTTGATAAAATACAATGGAAAATATTCTGGGTACTGAATTGTCATGTCCACTTTGTAACTGTTTCTGAATACTTGCACTTTTTGCACCTCCTTGATTTATCGTCTCATTGTTGTCTGCAAGGCAGTTTACAAGAATGATATACAGAGGCAGTAGGACGCAGGCATATGTTTTTCAATGCGGTAGATAAGATTTATTTTCTGTTTCCACAAGTAAAAGTCCCCAGGCTGACAACACCAGCTCGAAGAAAAGGTTTATAATGCCATTGTGTAGTTTTTTTAGACATGCTTTTAATTTATATTCTGAGCATGTGAAGTAAGGAAGCTGTCAGATTCACAGTTGGGTGCAATGATTTCTGTTGGCTTTTGGCGTCCGAGTGTCTTTGTCAGCAGTAGTTCTTAATGTGTCAGGGTCAGGGTGAAAAAGAAGTCAGCCAGTTTTATGTGTACTGTACTGTAAACTGCCACAGCTGCACCTCATGGGGCTGACTTAATCTTCCTACTAAGAATCGGATGAACCCTGGTGGAAACGTCTCCTCCACTTAGCTGGGAAGGGAGCGACACTAAACACGCACAAACCTCTCTGCTCTTTGAAGTGAAATAGTTCCATTATGCCATTTATGTAATGGTAGCATTGAATTGGCATCGCTTCAGAGTAACAGCTAATGTGACCTTCATTACTACTTTCCTTTTTTATTTTTTTTAAACTCTTGTGTCTCTAGTGATCTGCAGAGGCAGAGAGAGAGGTGTGCTGTGATTTGGTAGTCCTTCACATCAGGTGCTCCGTCCTTGCGGCAAGCGGTTGTCTGTCTTTCTCCTCTGACATGTTTTTTTTTTTTTCTGTTCTGTTCTCATCTACCCAGGCATCTTACTGTACAGCAAGCACAATTATGCCCAGGGCGTAAGATGCAGGCTTATATTTTCACTGTATGCATTCTGCTTCTGTCAACACTTTCTTCAGCAGCTCACACATTATGACAACTTACTGCAGACTGAGTAACGGCCGCGTTGTTAGACTTGTACTGTATCTGTACAGTACCTCTGTATATATTGATAGTGTGCATATATGCTTACCCATAAGCATAACAATCCTGGTGCATCTCATGTTATACCAACTCAGAAATTTTAATTAGTCTGCAGCTCCTTGGGAGTTTTTCAGTGAGTCTCATTAATCAGGTGTCTGCACTACCCCTTTGCCTCTAATCTCACTTTGTCTGTAGTCATCCTACTGAGAATTGGGATATGTATTAGTTCGTTTGACATGGTGACCCCCATGGGCAGCACATAATTATTTCTTCTTTTTTTTTTCGTTTTTTTAATATGACAGTGAGTGATACCCTTTGTAGCTGGAGTCTGTATTGGTGAGCATCACTTCAGCTTTTTTTGGCATTACTAATCTCTTGGTGTTGTCATGCACTTTTTGTTTAGGTCATTTGGGCAGAGCAACAGGTGTCCAAACGAAGGAAAAAGAGGGATGTCTATGCAGAACCATTAGATCCCAAGTTCAGAGATCAGTGGTACCTGGTGAGTGTATATACAGAATCATCATTGAATAAGAGTGTGTTGAGACTGATTTGTGTGTGTTTCTGTGGGACATGACTTAGCACTGCACACCGCTTGAGCTTTTTATCCCCCTAAAGTCAGTACAGGTAATTAAATGTGTGGCTGTCGTGTTTCTCCTGAGTCATAAGACAAGTCTATGTGAATCCAATATACTGTCTTGTTTGCAGAACAAGAAGCACAAGTCTGAGTGTCTTCACCTAAAGGATTCTGCATTCGCACACCAATTGTCTGAGTTCTGAATTGGATGCTTGTAGAACTTGATGTTTTACTTTAATTTGCAGACAGCACTGCAAGACACAGAGACAGAGGTGATCCATCTTGAAGCGCTCTAGTTTTCAGCTGATTGATTTTCACATTTGACTTGAAGAATGTCACTGATACATTGGCCTGTTAAACGCAGCAGTAAAAACCCCTGCGATTTTCTGTTCGTCTACACACTTCCTTCAATTACACTGAGGACGCTTCAGGCAGAAGACGATTCATGGTGATGCAAAAGAGATGCAACACCAGTTGCTCAAAATGTCGATGCTTTAACAGACTCCTCAGCGTGTTGAAGTAGTCGTGGCACCTTGATAGTAGATAAAGGTACGCTGCCTCGTATCAGTGTTACTGTGTGTGATAGGATCTGTCATACCTTGACAACTGTTAATAGATTAACTGATAGTACAAGTTCTCTGTGATGCATATGATACAGCATAACTATGTGCAAAATGCAATATCATTTTCAGTATATATTAGGGCTGCAATGAATACTTTCATATTCTTTTCTTGAAAAATGTTAATCCTTTAGGGTGATATTTACTAAAGTTTTGCAGCTCATCTTTTGGCACTAAACAGTTAAATTACATGTGTTCATATTTACTGAGAAATGGCAGTGGGATTTTGTGGTGGAGAAAGAGAAGAAATGTGGCACCGCAAGAGTTTGTGTGTTGTTTTTCATGCAGTCTTTATTCTAAGGAGTTCCCATATGGGGACCCAAAAATCATGGAGGAGAGAATGGTATTGATATAAATACCCTCAGTGCCTGCTTTACCACCACTTTGGCAGATGGAACTGCAGCTGAAATGTAACGGCAGGAGAAAGCAGGTGTAAAATTTGGGGAGCTGCTTTGGGCATGGCAGGTATTAATCATCTGAAATCTCTTCAGAGTTGACATGTTTGAGAAAGGAGAGTCCTTTAGTATGTATCTTCGCTCGCCAGAGGAGAGCTCAAAAGGGTGCTTCTACTAGGGACTTGTACAGGTTTTCAGGTCAAACCATGCTTAAATGGCTTCAGTCATATTAAAGTTTGGTTGGTGACTTTATTCTACTTCTTCTCAGTCCACACATGAGCAACAGCTGTCAGGCAGCAGATCTGATGCAGATGTCTATTCACATTAACACAGCTCATTTACATCATCACTGTTAGTCAATATGCCACTAAATAAAAAAATTTAAAAAAAATTTGTGGTGCTGTAATATTTTTGCACCTGACGGTAATTTGCAACAGATTTAATAAATATTTCCCATAGCCTCTAAAAATGTCAGAAAGTGCCTAAATGATGCTTTTAAATTTGTAAAACCTGCATTATACAAAGGGGAATTTTTGCTGTTTGCCCATTGGTATATGTATATACAAGGTGGACAAAATAATTGAAACATGTCAGTATGATGTAGTACAGTTCAACAGCAACATAAACTACATTTACCACAATCACCATACAAGTGAGCCAGCACCTCTGAAATAGTTTCAACAAAAGAGGAACAACCTGAAGGACGGACTTTTTTGCAGGACTGATTTATTAGACTGCAGGAATTTAGCTTGGTGATAGAAAAAATACCTGTAAAATGTATTACTAAAGCTACTGTGCCTCTGTATATGAATATGATTTGTCTTGCGGTACTAGAGGTGCTGAACTTGTATGAGTAGAAAACATAAAAATTGATTTCTGTTTATAAGTCTGTAGGTGCTGCATTGGGTTATAAAGTTCATTAAACACCAGGAGACAAAAGGTGGAGCAACACAGCAAATTCTCTGATCCTTTCCACTAATGGGGTCAAGTGAGCAGACTAGAAATGTCAGAATGAGCACAAGTTAGTTTTCAACTAGCCAACCAACCACTATTTTCACTCTTTATTGAAATCCCTTCTGTGTATTTTAAATAATAACTCACTGTGGTTAGTATACAGTGGGTACAGAAAGTATTCAAACCCCCTTAAATTTTTCACTCTTTGTTATATTGCAGCCATATGCTAAAATCATTTAAGTTCATTTTTTTTTCCTCATTAATGTACACACAGCACCCCATATTGACAGAAAAACACAGAATTTTTGACATTTTTGCAGATTTATTAAAAAAGAAAAACTGAAATATCACATGGTCATAAGTATTCAGACCCTTTGCTCAGTATTTAGTAGAAGCACCCTTTTGAGCTAATACAGCCATGAGTCTTTTGGGGAATGATGCAACAAGTTTTAGCATATGGCTGCAATATAACAAAGAGTGAAAATTTAAGGGGGTCTGAATACTTTCCGTACCCACTGTATGTCCAGAGGTGAAAAACCACAGCAAAGGTTGTCAGGTTGCAGGAATGTGCTCCTCTTCTCTCTCCTGACACCAAATAAGCCTGTGCCTCATTAAAAGTAAACCTGGTTCTCCAGAATGGAGAGTGAAGGAGTGCTGGGAGGTGGACTTTTGGCAGGGTGTCCTTGATGGACAAATGCTAATGATCAGCATCTGCTCTTACAATGAATATCTAATATTTTTTCTGATATTTATCTAAATGTTGAGTCAGATTTTGTTTCACTGACAAATGATGGTCAAGCCTCAGACTGTACATATTGTATGTCAGTGTGCAGAAGGAAGGCTGACATTAAGGAAGAAGGAAGGACTCGAACCATGAGAAATATTAAGAATGAAAGCTTGTGCGTGCCTCTCAGATTTATTATTCACTCAGCGTGTCAGCCACAAAAGCCCCTTTCAGTCTGAATCAACATTGCAGATCACAACTTTCAGCTTTTAATTGATTTTCTTCTTGGTGGTTTAAATGTCAATGACATTACAAGGTTGAGGAACAAACCTCATCCTGCCTGATAGACTACACCCACAAGGTTTGGAAATCTAAGAGGCAACTGTGGTGGCTGGAACATCAGACACATTATATTTAACTGAAGTTAACACTTCAAAAAGAAGAGCTTTGAACTAGATGAAAGCCTGACGTGGCTTTTGACCAAAGGTCAGGTGAATGTCAAAAGCATATCAAAAAGCATACAGAATGATTACTGTGTGTCATCATCCAGTTCACCACATTGCTTTGCTCAGGATTACAATATAGTATGTCCAAGCATGGTGCTGATGGTGTGCAGCACAAAGCACATATCTGTACCACTACTGTGCAATGTTGCCTTTTCCTGAAAAGTGAAATTAAGCAGTTGCTTCAGTACAAAGCTTGGTCTTGAACGAAGTGTCTTAAATTACTGCCTTTTTTTAAAGAGTAAGCTCTTCCAGACTTGGTTAAAAGGACATCCTTGTCAGCACTAAGATGTTTCTCAGATAATTGGATTCCATCTATTTATGTTATTTGCTTTCTTCATCCTCAGTATAACAGCAACCACCGTGATTTGAATGCCAAAGCTGCCTGGCAGTCGGGCTACACAGGTAAAGGTGTGGTGGTATCCATCCTGGATGATGGAATAGAGAAGAACCATCCTGACCTGATGCAGAACTATGTGAGTATATCTCCTAAATTAGCCTTTTTACACGGAAAAGCTGTGTTGCTGCAGCTACAAACAAAATGAAGATAAGAAGAGAATAAATAGAGAAGATTTTGAATTAAAGATAGTGTCGACCTTCTGCAGATTTATTTTTGTGAACACAGACTGAGGTTTCCTCTAAGTTAAAAATACCTGAAAACCGACTGAATCTCCAAACTCTGAAAAAACAGTTTTCTGCACCTGATTCTAACAGCTGATCTGTCTTTTTAAAGGACCCAGATGCCAGCTATGATGTGAACGATGGCGACCCGGATCCTCAGCCCCGATACACGCAGCTTAATGACAACAGGTAGAAAGCTGCACAGATAGCAATTTCTACTCTTCTCTGTGTCTTTTGGCCTGGCCCAAACCACCCACTCATGTTTCTTTAAATGCTGGCTACATGGGAGTCATGTCAGGAGATAATTCTTCCCTTATTAATTAATCTGCACCTCTCGCTGTCTGATACCTGGCAGCGGACATGTAAATAGGCCTATAGTTGTTTCCCATACACTGTTGAGTCTTAAAGGGCTTCATTTATGAGAACAAATCCAATTAAAGGTCCTAGCCTACTGGGGTTTTTTTGTCTGAGAGATTTTAATTTTCTACCATTTAAATCTTTCTACTTTCTAGAAATGGGCAGGTACTTTTTAATATGAATCCTGCCCCCAGGTTGTGGATTTCTGTTTGGCCACTTAAATCTCACATGGGTCACTAGGGCAATTCTGTAGCCTGAGTATGTAGAGCAAATCTACCCTGGGATTAAGAAGTTGTGTGATGAAAATGGCTTTATTGCAATAGCCTCTGCTGATGGCATTAAGAGTTGTTTGCCACCACACTGATGTCTTGCAGAGAACTGATTGAGTTAAGTTCATCAGCATTACTGAGGGCTCCTGCTCCTCATCACTGCCACTGCCTGCCTCCCTTCTGACTTTTAATTTCTGATTTGCTGTAATCTTCCGTTTGTGGGCAATTGGCCTGAAAGCCTTGTTTTTTTTTTTTTTTTGTTGTTGTTTTTTTTTTTCTCATCTCAAGCCTCCAAGTGATTACTAGTGACAGGCAGAGAAGATTACAGTAAGGGACAGATGGAAATCAAACATTCCCAACTGAGACGAGGGTCCGGAGCGAGCACTATGAATATGGAGGCCAGAGGGATGTAGTCTAAGCTACAGAATGACCCACACATAATCAACTATGCTAATGCTGTATTAACTCCTTAAAAGCTTTGTCAAACATATAGTAGATGGTAGGACCAGGCGATTAATAACATTTTATTTTCAATAACATTTTCATCTTCCAATCCTTATGAAAACAAAACAGCCAGGATAAAATGATTATTGTGCTGCACTCCATTTCACTATGATGTTCTCGTTTTGTGTTATTATAAATCCCGCGCATGCCTTCAGCGCTCTACAGTGCGAGCATTTGTTGCTGGCATTGGGTAAAGTGAAACATCTAAGCTTGTTACTGTATATGCACTAAAACCTTCAAGTAAAAACAAGCATAAACTTGCAGAGAAGTGATCATTTTATTTCTGCCTGCAGTCCTGTCATCCATCCACACTTTAGACATTGCAAGCTAATGGCTAATTGTTATGAACAAGCTAAAATGAAAAGATGACAGTGTGTAGCCTGACTATTAAAAAAGACTGCGAGACATGAATGTGGCTATGTCATGGTGAGCCCAGCAGACTGAATGATTCTTTAGGTTATGACAAGCAATACTGTTAACCTTAAGTAGCAAAGTTTTATTTGTAAAGTAAATAAAGAATATTACGTAATTTCCTCTGAGCTGTAATTTACAATTTTTCAGTTTATTTAAAGCTCAAGAAAACCCACTGTTGAAAGATAAGCTTTTATTTTAAGTTCAGTAAATTTATGACATTTCCAAAGTCAGTGGATAATCGTGTTAAATAATCATGACCGAAATAACTGGGATTATGATTTTTGCTATAATCGTGCAGCCCTAGCAGGTGGTGGCTGATTTTAGGTGTGTACTTGTTTTCATAGTAGAACGTTTTCTTATTTGGGGCAGAGTTATCAATAAAAGTTCTAACACATACGAAAACAGTGCAAACAGTATGCTGCTCTTGTATTCAGCTTAAATGAGTGGTTTTAAGATTCTGTGCCAGTGCCTGAAACTGTTTTCACCACCTCTATCAACAAAACCCTAAATGGTGAAATATCTTGTGGAAGAATGTGGGAGAGCATCCCTCTGGTGCAACTCCAGAGATTCACAATCAATGCCAAGGCACGGTTAAGCTCTCCTGGAGGCTCACAGTGGCCCAGAGCCCAGCTAAGACACTCACTATTGATGTTTCTTTCTTTCTGCTTTACCGTTTTCCAACCTTCTCTTACCTCATCCCTTATCTCTTGCCACCCAGTTCTTCATGTCTTCCTTGTGGCAGGACTAATTGAATGGGAACATAGTTTTGTGTCTGTGTTTTTGTGAGTTTCCCTTAATTTACAGTGGGTTAGTGCAGATGCATGTCTAAACAACCTGTGGGCGGACATGTAACCACATAAGGTTGAGTAAGACTGTAAGTGTCTGTCCCTTGCAGAAAGCCCCACTCTGTTCACCCCCATAAAGCTGTCTTTCTTTCCCAACATACAGGCAGCAGGGAGGATGGCCGAGTAGCAATGTGACCATTCACCCTCATGTTTATCTAAGACAGCATGTGATCTAGATGTTTCTCTTTTTAGGGTTTCCTCTTACTCGTAACAGGAGGCTTTCCAAATGTGGATTTTTGGGCTAAACCTGGCTAAATGCACACAGGGTCTTTTGCAAAAATACTCAACTTATGTTAGCTCAGGGATAACTAATTCAGAATGAATATATTCAACATATGCAGTAAAGATCTTTCTCGCTGCACAGTGAACAAACAATCAAAAGCACAATAAACTTGCTTAACAATACAAGGGATAGCGCACATCGAATATACTTGTAAATTCAGAAATATTGAATGCACAGTGATGGATGAAAGGACCTATTTAACAATACTGCAAATAGCAGGTTGATTAATATTTACCAGCTATTACATTAATCTCTCTAGGCATTTACTTCATATTCCTTTTTCATGTTCAATAAACATCCCCAGACCTTTTGTCCTGCAGGTCAGCTCATTAGTAAACTGGCAGAACATTAGCAGACTTACTGTAAGAATGAGCAGAACCATTGTACTGATTTACCTTTGAGGTTCAGTGTAGCCCAGAGACTAATAAACAACCAGTGCTGCTATCCACAGCCTCGAGAGCATCAATGACTTTTTTTTAAAATTATAAATAATTAAGCTAATGCAAGATAGAAAAACCAAGTGAAAGAACGATGTGGTGTGCCAGACTGTGAATGTTAATGAATGTTAGAATGTTAGTATAATGTTTGGTTGGGTTTCAAATTTGTTGCCCAAAGTCATAATTAAAAACAAAAGCTACACCATTTGTTGCAGATCTTTATGTAATCTTTGCACTAAACCCACAGACCCACTTTGATTGTATCTGTATTACATTAGCATATTTCTTTTGTAAGTCTTCAGCGAGAGGTAGTCGTGTTTTGCACAGTGGCAGCATTGGTTCACACAGTGGTTGTGCCTGATGCAGGTATGAATACTGATCATGTTGTTGGCCCCGGGCCTGCAGCTAGTTGTACCTGCTGTAACCCGAGATAGTCTCCCATGTGGCTTGTTCTCACTGTAATCAGAACGAGATGTCACAGAAATCAGTCTTTGTTCACCATAATCTCCTATTATCACCATTACCTGCGACATGGGAATTCAGAGGTGTTGCACAATATATCACATACAGTAGTTTCTTTGTAAAAGAAGCTGCTATTATTTTTTTTCCAAGAACTTTTTTTTTTTTTTTTTTTTAAAATAAAGTTTTTTATTGAGGAGGATTAGTGAAGGCCTGAAACTGTTAATTAAAAGCACATGTTGTTCATACTGAAACTGCTGTCATGAGATGAAAACTGATCCCTGTAAACAACACAGATATGTACCAGTTAGTCTTTACCTGGACAGTTTTCATAATTTTGGGAAAGTGAGGCAAACACTAATTGACTAATGCGTGCAGCACATCTAGACATGACTATGTAAGGAAAACTGATTAACGTGACAATGCATTTCATAAATTGAAATTTTTTTATAGGATTGTTTCATCTCTTAATATGCTTAAACAATCATATCTTTATACTATTTCACTCTTTATGATAAGCATGTCTCAGGGGTATCCAAACTACATCCAACTAAAACAAAATATAAAGGTAAATTGATCTTAGAAATCTTAAAATATCTCTTTCTGTATAACTTGGTGTGAAATCTGAGTTCTGGACATAGTTATTACCTCCTGCTTGATGGATAAGAGTTGTTGGGGCTACAGTTGAGAGCTGAGACTGTGTGTTATGTGGTGACTGAAGTGAGAGGCTGTCAGTTTGTCAGGGGATCTATCAGGCAGAAATTATAGCACTGATAATGAATCTGTGTGACTTGTTAACAACCGATTTAACAATGTTTTACTTTCTGTGACAGATAGCTCTTTGTTCCTGCACACACAGGCGGGGAGTGATTTCACTGGGACACTTCATGTGATGAGCTCCTGCACAGTGCTCTCTCTTCTTTAACCTCCTTTTAAACCCTGGGCCTGGAGGTTTAATCCAGGCTTGGTTTCATGTGAAGCCAATCTTATTCAGATCAGTAGAAATGTGTGCATACAGACAAAATGAGGACATACGGTAAAACTCTGCCTTCATTGTCAGAGTGCTGGTGGCTCCCTGCGGCATCTCATTGTGAATGATCACCCTGTTGAGAAAAGACCTCTCACAGTCAGGCCTTCTAATTAGGTATGGAATAATTCTGCATTTGTGGTGCTGAGACTATTGAAATCTTTCCCAAGGGTGCCATTTGCAATATTTTAAATGAACAGTAACCAGTTTAATGAAGCATTGTAATGGCATAGAGCTGTGAAGAATGTCTTGCAAAGGTCAGAGCAGATTCAAGATTTTATTTTATTTTATATTAAGGTCTAAATTAATTGTCATTCATATTTTAGGCAGTAATTTCACACCCTTTTGTACTGCTGCTTGACTGCTTTCATATGCTTTGGTCCTGTTTTACTGCCATTTATTTACCCATTTGCCTGCCAGAATCGACATGCCATCATTCTAAATTATTCCTGTATTTTGCACCTTATGTTTGCTATAGAAATGTTTGTTGTTAAGGCATCCTTGAAAGCTGTTCAGTTGATTGACCATCAGTTTTGATTTGGTAGAAGAAGACTGGATTTTCATAGCGATGAAAGGATTAGTTTATTAATCAAGTAGTTGATAGACAGAACATGGATCTGCTATGAACTATTATGATAACATTATAAACCCAAAAATGTCACAGTACAGCATTGCTGGAGGTTTCAAATATTAATAAGTGCCTATTTCTTTTCTTTGATATTAAATCAACTCAGGCCCTGGCAAATACTTTTATTACATTATTACTTTTTATGGACACTAAGTTTTTCAAAAAGAAATGTGACATATTATTCAATAATGAAGATAATTAGTTATATAACTAATATAATTAGTGTAGACATTGTACTCGATACCCAAAACACCAAGTTCTGCTTCTAAATTCAATGTCCTGTAGGCTACCAGTAAAATATGACTAAAATATGCTAATTGAATCAGCAGCAGATATACAGTATAGACTAACACTGCTAACATCTGTTGTTTAAACTATAATTTTCCCACCCATTACATTTAACCTTGAATGTCACGCCTAATCATAGTTGATTGGATTCACACAGACCAGTGGTGCTCACAACCTGCAAATTGATAGCTGAATGAAAATGCCATTAATTAGACTTCTGTAAGTCAATTTGAATAAATAGCAAGGAGCAATCTGCTTTCACAGGCAGAATTCATGAAAGTGTTTGACCCATGGATGCACTCTTCTTCACATTCTTATTGACCCAAACAGTGAGTGGGAGCAGTGAAATCTATTTTATCTCTCCCAAAAACCTGATTACGCAAATAGTTCTTGCATAATCAGGTTGAGAAACTGGGGGCTTCAGTCCTGTAACAGCATTTGTATGCCATGAATCAGTCTTCCATGTAAGTAATGACTTTGACAGAAGAAGACTTGGAGAAGGGCTCAGTTGAACACTGGAGGCGTAGGCATATGCCTATACCTTTGTCCCTCTGCAGACACCTGAGCTGCTCCTTATCATCAGTTGCATCACAAACACGGATGCTGTAGGGCGTCGGACTCCAGAGTCAACAGACTAACACTTCCAAGGAGTATTGAGCTAATGTTTGCTGGAAAATTGTCCAGATGACGTTCGTGTGTGTGTTTACTTTTGTGTCTGTAGGGATATCCTCACCAGTGGAGCAGGCTGTACTTGGGCCTTTATTTAACTGGTGTCCTTCGATGCACCAAAGACGTGATGCATTGACATTGGCCCGCACCCTCTCATCTTATCACCGTGTCTACGGTGTCCTCTGATGCACCAAAGACGTGTTGCATTGACATTGGCCTGCACCCTCTCATCTTATCACCGTGTCTAAAAGGATCTCTGGACTCAGCCAGATGAATTACAGTGCTCTGACCTTCTGTCATTATACCTATGTCTTTAATGAAAGCAGAAGTCAAGGATTGTTAGAATTAGAATAATAAAAATGCGTTATTCTTCCGTGATCTCTGACCTCTTTATTGTGAACAGTTTAAAATGCAGGTAACATAATTTGTGTGACTAAGAGTTAGTTTAATGCTCATTAAATGAATGGTGACGGCACTTTTGGCAGGCTACCCTGAGACTAAATATCTATATTCTGACAGCAGATATAGTCTGGTGTATCAAAGGAGGAGGTTCTCTGGTGTTGTGGTGTACCCAGAATCCCTTAATGGAAACCTGTTGGGATATATAGTTCCGTCAGTAGTGAGTGCCCAATCTTTTCTGTTGTTTCCTGATGGGGCACACTGTTGTCTGGGCTCCAGCATTCCTGTCTGGGAATGACTGCAGTCCTCTGGGGATTGTGCTGTTTGAAGGGCGTTAAAAGTGCATATCCATCTGGCAGACCAGGGGAATGCACCTGACTGGAATGTGAAGATCAGCTCCTCTGCAGCGGCTTTTGGATCTCCACATTGTGGAGCTACATCTTACAACAGAGGCTCAGGCTTAATGAAAGACCTGTTGTAAAAATGGCAAGTGTAATTCATAGTGCTCCCATGTGTGATGATAATGTCTTTTATTTTTATTTTTTGTTGACTTGATTCTGGCTCTGTACACACTCCAAGGTTACTAATGCTAGAAGGTCATAGATAATGTACAGTGGTCTCCACTCACTGATTTAATGTTTACTTTTGGACAAACAGGAATTCAGACTTGTTTAAAGAAATCAAAGCCAAGAACCTGTCTCCGTGAGTTTGTTTTATTTCAGTCTAGAGCTCAATTGGATTGAGCACATTCCTCTACAAGCAACCATTGTTAAACAAGCTCACTACCTGTGGGTATATATACAGTAAAATGCCATGGCATTATGTGAATGACATTTAAAAAGGATAAGTCGTTTTCTTAAACAAGCCTCTCATTTTTCCTTCTCTCCAGGCATGGAACACGATGTGCAGGAGAAGTGGCAGCAGCAGCCAACAACGGGATCTGTGGGGTTGGTGTGGCCTACAATGCCAAGATCGGAGGTACAGTCAAATAAAACATGGCTCACTGATTTAATCTCACAGGGCCAAACCTTAGTTTCATCTCAGTTTTCTTTCTGACTGCCAGAACAGCTGAAATGCATGTTTTGCTGCACCAGTCTCATTTTCCCTCCATTCCCCGTGCTCAGCGTGATACAGAGTGCTTTCTGAGCATCACCATAGTTGTGATGTGGATTGCACTGTAGTTCTATTAGTGACACTTACTGTGCAGTTTCTGAAATGTTGTAGATGTTATGGAATCTATGGTAACTTGATGTCAGACTTACCGGGCTGCTATAACTGTCTCCTAATGTTCTGATGCTTCAGGTGTCTGTTGTGTAGAGGACTAAACATTATGAGCACCTTCCAACATTATGTTAAGCACAAAACCACCACTTCCAACAGTCACCAAGAGTTGAATTAACACCTCTGTGACACTGTTGACAAAAACTCAGCAAGTTAATAAGAATAAGGTTTATAGTAGAACTGTTAAGCTGGATTGCATAAGATTGTACAGATGTACCTAATAAACTGCTAAATCAGTGTGTTTAGCAACATCTGGTTGTGCTAGTGGTGTCTCTCAAGAGTGTAAGAAGTGAGGGAACGATAGAGTGCCTCAGGCTTTGCCTGTATTTCTGCAAACCTAAAAATGGAATAGGGCGAAGATGTTTTTTGAAGCCAGGTCAGAAGCCATCGGAGTACATACAGTAGTTGGTAGGTCCTGATGCCACCCTGCTGTGATGCACTGTAGGTGTCTGCTACACTTGAGCCATGTTTGATAGTTGTCACTCTGGCCAGTTAGATCTCATCACCCAGTGTCTGTCCCCACAGTTACTGTACAGAATGTGCACGGAGAATGTTGCCGAGTTTGATTTCTCCGGTCTTCATTTAAAAAAGTAAATCCAATAAAATTAACATTAAATAAGAATAAGTTTTTGTATCCATTTCTCTTCATCAGTTTCTGGTTTTCACTCTCTCTCTCATTGTTTTTCAAACACATTTTCTATTCTTGTTTTTATCTATAAAACAAATGCCAAATGCTCCATATATGTGGAGCTGAAACAATTAGACGGTATAAAACCCTGCAGCTATTGTGACAATCGATAAATTGCTATTTTTTAAAGCAAAACCACAAACATTTTCTGGCTACAGACTCAAATGTGAGGATTTACAGTTCTCATTAGTTTTTTTTTAAATCATTGTAAATTAAGTGTTTTAGGGTTTTAGGCTATTTGCTGGAAATAATAAGCACTTTGACGATCTCACCTAGTGTTCTGGGAAATTGTAATGGATTTTTATTTATTTATTTTACTGTTTCCTAGACACGAGTTAAATTATAAATAATTGAGAGAACAGCATTTTAATGAATAACTAAAATAATGGTTATATAGAAGGGACATGTCTGAACCAAAACATTTCTTTCTTTCCTACTGAAACTCTTTTAAAATCTTTAAGGCCTATTCATACTTTCTGCATCCACATTTCTGTTACAGTCCAGTGACAATTTTTCGTCATCTTCCCCGGTCTGCCAGGCTCCGCAGAGACTCTGTATGGAATTCAGTGTGTAAGCCAAAAATGTGTGTGTGCACAGACTGTCCTCTCAACTAAAAACCCTGACAGCACATGTATTAGAACACGGGCGTTTGTGGTTAGAAGGTTGAAGTATGAAAAGGCACATGCGTGCCTTCCGTCTGTGTCTGGACAACAGATACACAGTACCTGGCTGTATCTGACCTTTGGTGAACCTGTGGTTCTGGTGGTGTGTTGTGTTGAGCAGTGAAGCAGAGAAGTGAATGACTCTGTGCCTCAGTTTTCACGGGAGTCAAGATAATTGCAATTTGCTCTACTGGGCTGTCTTTGCACTGCGGTCGGAGGATATTTCCATATAACTGAGTGTTCCTCAAGTTTCCCCTGTAATGTAGCTGGGTGTTTTTTGAATCTGTCCAGCTCCGTAGGGGACACTGGGCTGCAAAGCCAGGTGTCATTCACAGTGAATGGCAACTGCCCCTGGTCCAGCCTTTTGAACCCGTATAACGTGTGAATGAACTGTTACTGTTGTGTACTTCCTGTGTGCTACAGTACCTTCCTCCTTAACCATGTGCTCAGTGAGCCTGTAGTTCTGGGGCCAAGATGTAAATGCACTCTGCAAATGGGACAAGGATTCAGATGAAAAGTCTCACAATGGGAGTTGAGTATTAGGAGCCAGAGTTTGGTTGCAATTACTGTCACTGTAAAGTACAACCATAATTTAACAATAAAATTAGCAGTCAGGTTTATGGTTAGTTGGTCTGTGTCAGAGACAGAAAAACACTCAGCGACACAGAGTTTGCTCATTGAGACGTCACAAAAGAGGGAGCAGTTTTTGTAGTTTCCGTTCTTCAAAAGACGTTTCATTGCTTTCTGATATTAAAAACAACAGTTGATTTGTTTAAAATTTTCATTGTAAATAGCTTAGTTGATTATTTCATTCCTCTTAGAATTAAAGTTAGTTGTTGTTATGGTCACATTTCTAGTACATGTGAACATGTCTTGTATTGCTGATTATTTCTTGTTGCCGTGCTGAGGATTGTGTTGTACTTCCTGGAGACTTTAGGGTTGTACCATAATGATGTGTTGTCGTTTTAGCTGTAGGAGCCTCTCTATCCCAGTGCATGCTCTCAACAGCCTCCTCCATATTTCCAGAGGTCATAAATAATCAGAATAGTGCCATAACTCTAGACTTTATTATCATTCCAGATGGCAAGTAGGAATATACCACATGGCATTCAGCTTGTCTAATATAAAAAAGTGGGCTGTGTGGGGTCATTTAGGTGAAACAGGAAGAAGCCATTGTTGTGAAAAACCTACACATGAGCTTTTCTTCCCACTTAAGGCTCAGTAGAATCAGACACTAGAACTAAATAGTTCATGGACTACAGACATTATTGCACTACTTTTACAATTCAAGAACTTGAGAACTGTGAAGCTTAGTTGAAGTAATATGAGAAAAGAAGTACACTGTCTGTGGTCTGAGCTTCTTTCTCCCAGAAAATATTTCAAAACAAACTTTTCATTCAGAATCCAACATTTCATTGCCAGATATAAATCATTTCCAGCACAAGGTGCAGTGAGATGCCAAACATCCACTGATCATTAAACTGATGCATAAACAGCACAGAAACACAGAAACAGAGAACCCAGATTGTGCAAGTTGTACAATAGCTCTAAACAGCTGGAAGCCCAACAGACAGAAATCTTAAACTCAAGGCAGCTGGATAAGTTTATCCATTTTGGTGGCCAGGGAGTGTATATTAGAAAGGCAGAGTGCAGAAGGAGCAGTACAAAAACTTCTGTGACTCCTGTGCACAAGACGAACTGCCCCTGTGCCACTTTCTACCACAGCTATAGCCCATTATTCAACAGGAGGCTGCCCTGTGAGGAATCACAAACACAGATGGGCTGGTGTAGATTTGTTAAATACTCATAAATATGTGTTGGGTAAAAGTAGTCCTCCCACTGAACCAACAGAAATACAATATACAGTATTTAACGGTGTTAATTTTAACACCTGAATTTGTTTTCGCTTATCTTTTGACAAAAATGCATATTAGTTTTTGTCAGATTTTAGCCTTTTGATTTTTGTTAGTTTTAGTCAAAAACTAAATGCATTTTATTCTAGCTTTGTCATTTTTAAACTGAATTTTTAATATTTACTGTAGGCTATATGTTCTTCATCCTGGCTGTGGACAGTTACCATAGATACATGCGTTGTTCACGTCTGTCGTGAGGTTTGTGGAAAACATTGTTTTGTTCACAGAAATTAGACTGTCACATTTGTACCAAAATCCTCTTCAGTGGGTTTAGAGGTGATCCTAAATCAATGGATAACATTAAAACCGTAAGATGTCTGCGGTGAACATTTAGAGATGATCTATGGGTGACTGCCGAAATCAATCCTGGAACTGACTGATAGTAACAAGAGACATTTGACTGAAAGAAATGTTAATGTTACATCTACATCCACAGCGTTTCATGTTAAATTATCCTACTGTTGTATATGGCGTGCTGCTGCATTTTCTTACTGTGTCCCAGCAGTTTTTGTTTGCAATTCTCTGGACTGTAGATGAATATGATTCATAAACCAGTTTTTACCAAGGTTATTGAATGCAAGACAGTGGTGAAACACATCAAGCAGCTATTTCAACTCCTGAATGAGAGATATTTTGTGGAGGAAACTGTTTTACTGATCAGCACCTATAGTTTGTGATTCCACAGGTCCACGGCAGGTCGTTAAGTTACTTCATGTCCGTTTGTCCATCTTTAACATTATCATTTACTTTTTTTTCATTGATGGAAAATGTAAAACATTTTCTTCATAGTTCTCATTATCAAACGTTTTGTTTGTTTCTGGTCGTGGAACAAGGTGGAGGTAATCTAAGTTAAACCACGGTTGACTGTTCAGAGTGGGTGATATGCATGAGCGTCGCCATGTCAAAGTGTCTGAGTCTTGTTAGAAATATTAATTTTCCTTTGCTTTTACTTAACCTGCTTTACGTACTGTTTGTTTCGTTAGTTTGAAATTGAGAAATGTATTTTTTGGCTTTCTTGTGAATTTCTTGAGAATTGGTGAGAACATTGATACCACGTTCATGTCTCTTTAAGTAGGAAGCCACAATGAACTTTTTTTTGTATGAATTGAACAAATGAGATTCATGTTAGTTGGTGAGCTTTAGAGGTTGGCAAACAAAATCAAGCTAGCTGGCTCACTCTGCTCCCAGTCTTTATGCTAAGCTAATCACCTCCTAATCATTTCCTCAAAAATCAAACTGTTCGTTTGAGCTGAGTTTTGGTTTCTTGGCTGTTTTTTGTAGGAAGGTTGCGGCAAATGGAACAGAGAAAGCTACTCCCCTCTCTTAGTGAGGCAACCTTTTCCACTCACACAAGCACAAAGTATATTGTTGACATGCACGCTTGTCTCATTTGTTTAAAAAACAAACAAACACTGAAATTACTTGAGTTGCAGTGCAGTGTGAAAGTCACCAAGTAACTCATCACCCGGCATCTTAGTTACTGGTTTTTGGGACAGGTAGATATTTTGGACATGGATACTTGAGTCAGAAGTGTTGGCTGCTATAGAAACACTAGGAGCGCAGTGTCTGATACCTTTGGAGAACTTTAAAGAGCCAGTGCTTGGTTAACCTATATAAGGCAGTGTGGGGTAACCTGAACTGCAATGCATCAAAGTGGGAAATTAGTTTGTCTTTAAGGTGTCCTTGATTCTTCACTTCTCTCTCTCTCTGTCGCTCTCTCTCCTGAGAAAGAATTCTATTGCAAGAAAACCTCCTCACCTTGAAGCAGAAGTAATAGGTCAGGACAGACACATCTCTCTTGTATCCTGCATTTTTATTTGTTTATGTTTTCTATATGGTGCATTCATTTTAAATGTACCATATAAATGAGCCATTAAACTTTAGCTGAGTTGATCACGTCTCGTTAAAATAAGAACAGGTCTGATTCAATTTACACTGAAGACAGTTGTAACAATTTCACCAAGACGTGAAGAGGAAGACAACTAATGCTTCCTTTCACCTTTTCCTCTGAATTTTTACTCTTGGAAGTCTGCTTCACACCTGAGGAGGCAGTTCACCCATAATGCAATTGATCTGGTTTCATTTCAGTTTTTTTTTTTTTTTTTTTTTACTCAAAAACATCTCAAGTGCCAAAGCAAATCAATAGAGATGACACTTGATTTACATGGCTTCAAGACAACATCACAGTGGAAGCCCTGATGATGAACACCAGCAGCATGTGCTGCACAAGCTGTATTGTGCCAACACAAGGCTGTAAATATGCAAATCAAACAACATCACAGCAGCGCTGCTTTGTCCCTACGCATGTCAAACCTTGCTGAATATGAGCACATAGTCTGGTAGAACTACAGAGCTACAACGCTATGTATTACAGTGCTGAGTTGGAAACTGTAGAAACTGCATCCTGCAAGATCACCATCACCTACTGCACAGTACTTTCTGCATATTTCAGTGTAGTCTTATTGTAACAGCAGCTAACATCAGATTGTTTTGCATATAAAGTTACTCTGTTCAGCATTTTAGCCTTTCAGTGAAACTATATCCCAATATACTTTTTTTTCTGAGTGCTGTATCTTTCCAGTCTTTTACTGAGTTTCTCTTTTATTCTATTTATTAGGTATTCAAATTTCTCTTGGCTAAGTGCTAAGAAAACTTTTTGTCATCTGGTGTTTGTGTCTGTGTGCATTATACTTTTTTTTTTTTCGGAACATGGCTGCAGGTGTGCGTATGCTGGACGGTGAGGTGACTGACATGGTGGAGGCCCAGTCTCTCAGTCTCAATCCCCAACACATCGACATCTACAGCGCTAGCTGGGGTCCCGAGGACGATGGCAAAACTGTCGACGGACCTGCCAAACTCGCCAAAGAAGCTTTTCTGCGTGGAGTTACAGAGGTGTGTGTGTGCGCTAGATTCTCTTCCTGTCTGTGGCTTCTTTCAGCAGCCAAGTACGACAGGACATGAGCAGTTATTGACCCTGACAAGTCTGAATGGAAAGGAATGTCCTCTAAAAGCCATCAGGGAGGAAAGTGTTACAAAATGAATACAAGCAGCACTGACAGAAATTAAGTTTGAAAAGCTCTTATTTTTTTTAATACTTGTAAGTCACAGGGCTCTTTTTAAACTACCAAACACATCTGTTATCTTTTAGTGTTTTCACTCAGTCGATTAAAAAAAAAAACATTCCAATCAAGCAGTTATTGGAGCTTTAAATTACTTGTCAAGCATTTCTAATCAAAATTCTTGCAAACACAATGCTAACTATATACATACACAAGTATAGAGATTTATTGAAAACAAGTCCGTCAGCATCTAATAGCATGGCACTCTGAATATTAGCCACAAGGGACTGTCTTGTAATCAAACCTGTTGTTGATAGCAGCATTTGTTTTAATGCATGAGGGAGTGTGTCAGATATGTCAAAAAGAACAAGTGAACAGATTAAAAGGCACACAGATCACACCCCAGGCTCTCACGTCTGCACTACATGAATAAACACGTCCATCCAGCTAACACTCACTCTTGTTATGGAGCAGTAGGATTCGAGGCATGTGCCGTAAAGCTGATTGGAGCCACTGACACTGACTACTGAGATAATTGCCGCAGTGACAGCGCTGTCAGATGGTGGTGTGGGTGGTACATACTCTAGCTGCTTTTGATCAATGCAGGGAGAAATGGTGCCACTCAATACAATAAAGCGGCTCTTAAGTGAAAATTATTGCACTTCAAAGGCTGAGAGGTTGATTTATTACAATGAGCTGTTGTCATATATTGTGTTGCGTTGCTGTCGTGATATTTAGCTCTGTTTAATTTAGTGAGTGACCACCGTGGCCTCTGTGATGTATGCTGCGTTTTAATGGGCTCTTTTTGAAATGAGCCCTGAAATGACTGCCCTCCTATAATTTGGATTCCCATTAACACAGAATGAGATTTTGTTCTTTTCCGGACAGTGGTGGTGTGAGGCATGACTGAGTGAAAGGGTCTGTGGTGCTCTGAATGTACTGTACGTTCTCCAGGGTCGTGGTGGTTTGGGCTCAATCTTTGTGTGGGCTTCCGGGAATGGAGGAAGGGAGAAGGATAGCTGCAACTGCGACGGCTACACCAACAGCATCTACACCCTGTCCATCAGCAGCTCCACCCAGAACGGCAACGTTCCCTGGTACAGCGAAGCTTGCTCCTCCACCCTCGCCACTACCTACAGCTCGGGAAACCTCAACGAGAAACAGATAGTGAGTTTTGGTTTTTGTCTTTTTCTGCCTCTCCATTTGCCTCACACGTGGCTTCTGCTTTAATGTCTATATTGGAAGGTAAAGTTTAGCTGACTCAGAGCATCTGAAGTGTTTGGCCAACAGGTGCTAATCCAGTGAAATGCTTTCCTATAGCAACGCATTAGATTCAGAACCTTTAGTAAAATGATCGATCAAGAGAAAATGAATCAAACATTTCCTGCAACTGGTTCATCTTAAGTCTTTTATCAGAGGAAAATACCATTTGCACCTTTTGTAAAAATGATTTTCTATCAAATTCAAATATAAAAGCAATCTAAACATTTTTCGGTGTGCTGACATTTTATTGACTAAACAGTTAATTAATTGTTAGACTGGGCGACCGGTTATTTGATAACAAAAATTGGTAATTGCTTCCATAATTCTAGCAATAGAATAGCTGTGTTTATGTGCTGTAACATCCCAAACTTGTTTGGCATAGATAATGAGAAGATTTTTTTTTAATTATTTTTATTTTGCTATATTTTCACTATCTTTAAACGCTACTATTTACCAGAATGATTTATTGGTTATAAAAGTATTTGAAGTATTTAAATTTCTGTTGATTGACTAAGTAGTTAATTGAGTAATAATTTTAGCTCTATACATTCAGTATGTGGCACACTTGTAGTATTTTGATCTGCAGCTGTGTTCTGTTCTTGCATGATGTCTTCACGGTTTCCTCCTTCTCTCTTCCCCATTTATTCAGTCTTGGGCCATTAAAATGATTATGAATCATGCACGGCTGAAAGTCCATCTGGCACACTGTTGCTGCTTAAGATTCTTGTCACAAACACAAAATTACGAACGCACATTTTCTTTGTCAGTCAGTCAAGCAGCCAGACCAGCTGGATGGACAGCTTATGACCTATCCATGACATGTTGCTGGTCCCTTTATGCTTCACTGCTGTACTCATTTAATTGTGCTGTCACTCATAAGCCTTGGAATAAAGAGATTGAGGAGAAGAGTGTGGGCTCCCTGGGGTTGTGCAGAAGTGACCATCTTAATATCTTAGTGTTTTTTTTTATTTTTATTACACTTATATTAGTAACGGGGGTATAGGAAGCTCCTGAATACATAATTGAACCGTTAAAGTGCTGCCTGTGCATTTCTTATTTGATTTAGCCTGTTAAAAGATCTGTTTCTGGAGGCTCTGCAGTGGTCAGCACATTGAGTAGACTTTTTTTATTCTAACTACTTTTGGATGACTCTGATTCAGTTAGTATAGGTTGACGTCTCCTTTAGGATTCTACAGCGGGTGACTGGGGGGCTTTTGCAGTGTAATGTTTTGTGAGCTTTATCCTTCCAGAGATGGTTTTTCTGAGTACAAGCACTCTGGTTTTGCACCACATAGCTTTGTGCTCATGCAGCTACAGAAATTCACACCTGGGAGCTTCCCAGTGCAACCACAAGCCCCTACTGCAGCAGTAAAAAGTCTTGCTCAAAGACACGTCAGTAGTAGTAGTTGTTGAGAACGAAAGAAATGATGGGAATAAAGATTTTGCTCATTTAAAAGAGGCAAACACCAAATTATAAGTTGCCGAAAGTTTAAATATATTTACTTTTTAATGTGAAGTCAGAAGAGCAGTTCAGGCAAAAGTCTAGGATTTGTGATGGTGTGTTAGTAGAGGATTAGGTTTATATATTTGTTTTTTAACGACAGCAAATGAGATACAAGCCCCACAACAATTTATTTTTGCCTTTAGAATATTAGGTGAATAACCTTTAGTCCTTTAGTTGCTCAGAATACATTTCACTTTGTCAGTTTTTGTTGGAGCTGTCTTTTTTAAGCCCACCGTGTTTATCTTCTTAGGTGACTACAGACCTAAAATCAAAATGCACAGACTCCCACACAGGCACCTCTGCCTCTGCCCCGCTGGCTGCTGGGATCATCGCTCTTGCCCTTGAGGCCAAGTAAGTGCTAATCACCATTTTTCTGTGAGTCTAATCAAGCCTTGCAGTTCTCTCCAGCTATACAGCCTCATTCTAACCTCCCTATCTGCATACTAGCCTGACTTTTGTTCATTAAAACCTGTTAATCCTATGAAAAATAAGTGCTACAAATCTAGTTTGCACAGAACAAAGTCATGATTAGACTGTGCAGCAGTTATTCTAGAGCACAATTCATCATTTTGAGAGCTTGCGTGTACATTAGAATATTCACTAAGCTCAGGGAGTTGGAATTAATGCTCCACTGTTATCAGTTTTCAGCACGAATTTAGATGTTTTGTAAATGTAAATGAGTCATTTAGTTGCAACTCGTACATTTTTTTTTTTTTTACCTTTTTCCTTTTTTGGCTCAGACTTTTTGAAACCTGATTATGAATTTAACATTCTTGTACTAAGTCAGGCTTTACGCATCAGTTCTGCCTGATTATCCCCTTTTATGAATTGCTTCTTAACCCCTCTGCCTGACAGACTGCAACTGTGCATGTGCTCAATTTGATGCCAGCACTAATCATTCTTATCAAGTCATGCAGGACTAATGGAGGAACAAACATGAACACCAGAACAGTCCTGAGAACGAGTAATTAGTACAGTCTAAGGTGGCAGAAAAAGATTGCAGTTAAGACCAGATTTGATGTGTAGAAATCGAATGTTTAATTTTAATAAAACTTTCATAAATTCATAAATCTTATTGTGGATTTATGTTGATAAAGAAAGAAATGTATGTTGATAAATCCACCATAAGGGTTGTGAATTGTTTGTGTGGTAGTTGCAGAGAAGCTAACCCAACTGTGACCTCCTTTTTTTATGCCCCGTCCATTCAAATGGACATGTCTGCACGCAGAATAACTACTTTTTCAAATGTTCTCTTTACAAGACATTTTGACAAAGGGCAGAGTTCAAACACTCTTGACTGAAGATTTAGTGTAATTCAGGAAAGAATGTGACTGGTGCTTCATTGTATCCTGTGTTTAATCAGCTGTCCACCTGCAGGTTAAGACTGCAGGACGTATTGTCAGCAGCGTCTCTTTGATCCTTTTTCTGGAGGTCTTAATATGTGTGTCCCCTGCATGTATCTCTTTCTTTATGTGACGGTGTGTGTCTGTGCTTGCATATATGCATGTTCCAGTAAAAACCTGACCTGGAGGGACATGCAACATCTGGTTGTACAAACTTCTAAACCAGCCCACCTGCTCACCAACGACTGGAGAACCAATGGAGTCGGGCGCAAAGGTACAGAAATTCGTCCAATTTCCCTTTTGCCCTGTGCAGTTTGCAGATGCCTTTGAATCTCATTAATGCGTTATACATCTAATAAACAAAGTTGTCATTAGAGGTGCAAGGCACTGGAATTGGACAGAGAGGATGCATGAAAAGTTAAAATGGGATACACACAGCTTGTCTGTAAAGCTGGCGCTGGGAAAGTAAGGATGCAGCTCAGAGCAGGCCGGCATTCATGTGTCCGCTTCTTTTCTCTCTCGGTCTCTACAGTTAGTCATTCGTATGGATATGGTCTTCTTGATGCCAGCGCAATTGTAGCACTGGCCCAGACATGGACCAGCGTGGGGCCACAGCAGAAATGTGTGATCGCTATGGTCGGTGAGCCAAGGTTAGTACCCTAAACACACACACACACAGCTAATTCAAGCTAATTCCAGCTAATATGTTGAGTTCATTTGAATGCAGCCCAAATACATTTTACAAAGCCTGCAAGTTTTTCATCTATGAGTCAAATTCAGACTCTTTCCTAATTTTACTTCTCAGATAGTTTTGTGTCTTGTTTACAGTGGCTCCTTTGTTTTCCTCATTTTGTGTGAGCAAACAGAACAACAATCCTGACAGAGCCACAGGGCATTCACATTGGGTGAGATGCGTTTTCGCAACTCCCCCTGCTGGATTTAAAATCTGTTGCATTGGTTTAAGCTTCAATTTGAATTTCAATAGCTAATACCACATCAAACATATAAAATCTTCCACATTCAAACAACAGATTTGAGTTTAAAGTGTCACCCCAAACATGCAGTGCGGTAATTTATAACTTTATTTTTAGTGGCACTTCACAAATTTTACTTAACATATGGAATATTCAGCCTGTAAAAACAGCTTTTTAAAGAGGAAGTGTTTTAAACATAAAAATAACCCTCCTCAAGGTTAGGAGGTAAATGGTAGTCTAATGAAAAAGGTTGCTGCATTGCAGTCAGGATGTCTCCTCTGCCTAGGAAAAGCCCTTCCTGACAAAAAAAATTCATTTTTAAAGAGAAGTTATTTTCACATGAAATAAACTTGTAATAAAACGGATAAATAAGAGTGTTGTTAGGAAGCAGCAAAGCAAAGGAAGAATTTTAAAATGGAGAAATAACAGTAGACAAATATACATGACAAGTGTTTTATATGTAAACTCTTCCGGTGATTAAGCTCATGGTGACAGATACTTGAGTGTTTTTAGATGCAGCGAGTGATGAGAGGAATTGACATTAACCTGGTTTGTAACAGACGCAACTCTTGGAGATGCTCGTGTATGACTGAGCAGTCACGCTTTGCTGCAGTGACTTGTTATGTCTTCATCTTGGCCCTGAGCGCTTGTTGAAATGCTCTCTCATTCTGTGTGTGCGCACGTGAGCATCTGTGCAAGCACTCCGCTCAGCTCGGGAGGGAGCATTTCAAAGAGAAATAATAATTTGTCAATTGATGTGTTCCTTTCAGTAATAATACTCTGTTTTTCCTCAGCCATTTTATTCCTCCAATTCCTGGTGTCGCAGTGTGAACGCAGTCTGACGTTTCCTCTTCATTATGCGCTCCCTGTCACTTCTCTTGCTGGGTTTGTGGATTCTCTGTCTTTTATTGAGGCCAAGAGATGCTCAGAGCAGATGGTTTGAGCGTCTGGGAGCAGCAGTCAATGCAGGTTATTCAATTTACATTGTAGGCGTTTAGCTGACTCACTTATCTGGATTGACTTGAAATGAGTGAGCAGGTAGAGGTTTGGTGTCTTTGTCACTGTCATTTACCTCCAGTGATTACCTCTAGTCTTGGTAGGACTCTCCAAAAAATGAGCAAGTGTTAGGAGTACATTTACACAAGCTATTACATGAACTGCCGTGCACATACAGTAGTGCATCATCTACAGTATTTTATGGCAACAATTACAGTGACATTTGGGCATGTGTGGCAGTGAGATAGTGAATGAGAATGCCACAATGTGTTTTCAGTTCTGTGATTTGAATCTTAGCATTGGGAGAAGCCTTGTGTTTACATTTGGAAAATGGATTATGCCTCAGAGCACAACATCTTACAGTAACATAAAGGCTCCAGTGTTTTTTGTGTCTGACAGAAGAAGAATAAGCACACTGACTTTGTTTCATGGGGGTATTGAAGAGATGTCTTGGTAGCTGTGTGAACACTGAATGTTCAGGTCAGATCAGATGTTTATTGTTCCACGAGGAGAAATTTGATTTGCAGCGGCAGACAAGAAAAATATGAGCACAGCATAACAGAACAAGGGACATTGATCATAACAGTAACCGTAAAAATAGCCAAGGAGAAAATGTAAATGTTTGTTAAAAACATCCACTATATTGCATATTATTTTAAAGTGCTGCTGAACAGTGCAGACAGGACTTAATGCACGTTGACCATAATAAAATTCTGCTGAGCAGCATTGAGCATGACCATAATAAAATTCTGCTGAGCAGCACCGTCAAAACCTAAGTGCATCCATTGCATTAGAAACAAAAGAGAATCTGTATCTGTTGTATTTTACTCTGGGTGATCTATATCTCCACCCAGGGAGTAAGAAATCCCTCCAATACAGGATGGTCAACGATGAACAAGATTGACAACGCTTTTCTCAAAACGTGTCTGTCATAAAATCCCATCAGAGAATGTCAGTTATTTTGCTGGCTGCTTTAACTGCCTTGGACAGATGGTTTTTGTTTTTCACAATAATGTTTCCATGATAAGAGATTATACAGAAGGATAAGACTGACTTAATAAAAGACATAAAATCATCAAGGTTTTGTCTACATTCAAAGTGTTCAGTTTGCCCAGAAAGTAAAATCTCTGCAGACCCTTTTTGCAGATTGCAGAAGTGTTGTTCAGAATTCAGTGTCTTCTCAATTGTTGTTCCTAGGTACTTGTAACACTTAACGCTCTCAACAAGTGAGTCCGTAATTACAGTTCGAGTGGCTGAATGGGAGGTTTTCCTGGATTTAATGGCCATATCTTTGGTTTTGTTAACATTTAACTTCAGGTTGTCATACCACTCTATAAAGTCGCTCACAACTGACCCATGATCATCCTCTCCATCCTGGAGCAGACTGATTAGAACAGTGTTGCCCACGAACCCCAGGAGATGCCTGTCATTGTAGAAACTCCTGCAGTCATTTGTATAGAGAATATACAATAATGGGGACAGGACACACCCCTCGACTCTAAATTGCCCCTAGGATTGCCTTTGTTTTACTTGCATTATGGGGACCGAAACCTGTTAACACACCCACATTGTGGGGACTTGCCCATCTACAAGGGAATCACTGAATTTCAGGGCGGCAACATGGTTTAAGTTTAGGGTGAGATTAGGTGTTAGGCAAGTAGTGGTTATGGTTAAGGTTAGGATAAGTCTACAGGAAATGAATGTACATCAATGTAAAGTCCCCACAAGCAATGAAAACACTGTGTGTGTGAGTGTGGGTGTGTGTGGTTGTCTCTAAGTGGTATAGATAATGGATGGATGGACACACCCCTGGGGTGAACCTGTGGAAAGAGCGACATTTACCCTAACTGCCCAGGGCCTACATGTTAAAAATGTCACATAGGTATGTACACGTGTGTGCAAACTTTCTTAACCCTATAAAGACATTTGTATCATATGTGCCACGCGAGTTTCTTAGCAAAAAAAAAAGATCACCAAAAATGCCCCGTAATAAAAATAATCAAAATAATATGGCACATTTATTCCTATATGCCTGGACTGTCTATGCATAAATGGCAAATAAAAATCCTGAATCCTGAACTTTCTTTTGGATTTTGATAAAAGGTTTAATAAACATCTCACTTCCAGAAAATTAGAATGTTGTGGCTATTTTTTTTTTTGATGTGTCAGGCTTTACAGGGTTAAAGAGGACTTGCCAAACTTGATGCACATTACACCAGTGTAGCAAAAACATACTGTATGCTATGGGAAGTTCAACTAACTGAGGTACAAGCTGGAAGCTCAAAAAATTATTTATGATTCAGAAACACTGTCTTTTTTTCCTCTGTGCTCTATCAAATGATGGCAGTTCTTAAGGTTTGGCTGCTTCCCCGTTGTTGGTGGTTGTGCGAAGCTGATTAAAACAGATTAAATAGATTAAATGTATGTTTGTATCTCCCAGGATTGTTGCTGTAAACACATTTAATTTAAAAATAATTGAAAGTTATTTCAAAAAGTTTTCATTATTGTTTTTTTGTGACACTGAACTAATTTTCTTAATTTTTAATTTTCTGCTTCCATCACAGAGGTTATTTCCTCTTGGAGCTGTTGCTGAAATATAGATCATAAAAAGGGCCAAAGTTGTCATCTCTCTTGATCAGTTTCCCTCATGTAGGTGTTGAGTTCCTGCAGTGATTGCTGGTTATATGTTTGTAACGTATTCCTCTGTGTGTGTGTGTGTGTGTGTGTGTGTGTGTGTGTGTGTGTGTGTGTGTGTATAAGAGGAGATTGCCTGCCTGCAACAATGCCACAAACTTTGCTTCTCCCAAACCTTAAATCTCAGACACCTTTTGCTGCAGTGGTCAACTGGCAATAATAAATCAACTCAGCAGCCATTTGTATAAATTTCTACTTCCTCCTCCTGTGTGTCTTGATTCTTAACTAGAAGCACCACAAACTACAAAGTGCAATACCCTAAACAAGCAAGTTTTGAAGTGCGGCATTGCTGTCAATTTGGGTCATAACAATACAGTGAGCAGTCACTGTCAGACTCCTTGGTGTTTAGAGAAGTGCTGTAAATGAACTTTTTAGATGGTTCTCATGTGAGGCTGCTTCAGAGGTCAAAAATATTTGTATCGTCTTTTAACACATCATGAAATATAGGTTGGACCTGGAGGGAGTGTGTCTTAAAACAGTGTGACAATTCAGTGATCACACCACGTCCTGTCTATAATTTAGGCACCTCGGTGTCACTAAAATCTTGCACCTTCCTCCTCAGAATTGTTGTGGATGCATGTAATCTCCTAAGAAGATTTGGGGGGTGGGGTGCTTTGCTTCCTCAGAAGAGACTGGAGCTACAGGTTGTGAGACACTAATCCTGTTCAAGGCCACAAACTCTTCACCCTTCGTGGGTTCGTTTACTGGCCAGGAGCAAAGTGCCTTATGAACACAATTATCTGGAGCAAACTCTAGCTTATCCAGATCTCACAACAAGCCAGTAATTATTTCAGCAGCACACCCACACAAGCCACTGTCTTAATGCGGCATCTTTAAATGTCATTCCCGACAGGAACATTGGCAGCCATTTATTGATCAACAAGAGTGTGGACGCCTGCATCGGGACTGACAGTTACGTGACCTCATTAGAGCATGTCCAGGCCCGTCTCACCCTGTCCTATAACCGGAGGGGAAACCTTGCTATCCACCTCATTAGTCCTGCTGGCACACGCTCCACACTGCTCCACCCCAGGTACAAACACGCAACTGCACAAATACACACAGACAAAAACAGTATGAGATGGTAAACACAAACTATTCACACTTGTGTTTGTCGTTTTCCTGCAGGCCTCATGACTACTCATCGGAAGGTTTTAACGACTGGGCTTTCATGACCACCCACGCCTGGGATGAGAGCCCCACTGGGGACTGGACGCTGGAGATCGAGAATGTGGCTGGTGCCAGTGACTATGGTAAAGCATCTATGGTGTTTATAAGTGAGATTCACAAAATGAATGTGTTGCATGTTCGTATCCAGATTTTCATGTTGGCCAAGTGTATTGGCATTTTGGGGCATATCTGAAAAAGGGTTGCAGCATTATTGATTAATCGGTCAGTTACACAACCAAAAGAAACTGTAATACCCCTCAAAAAGCATCACATTTCATCTTAAAAAGCCACATATTAACAAACATATCTCACAATACCAGGCCTAGCATCCGAAGTATAAATTTAGTAATAAACAAGCTTTAAACTGAATATTAAATCTTAATACAAAGTAATTGTAGAATTTCTATCTAATTAATGTAACGTGATAGTACATACATGTTTTGCTCCTAGTGGAGACGCACACAGACAGGTATGACATGCATGTCCTCTGGTGGATTTCAACTAGGGATGCTGTGCTCACATGGTGCATGTCGTCACCTCTGGGCCACCGGGATGGCTTAAAGTGACTTCACTTGAATGTTGAGTCTAGAGTTCAGCTCAAGTGTTAGAGTTCAGTGCCAGGAGATTAGAGATCAAGTGGCTGCTGTATTCAAAGTGTCTGTGGCTCAGTTTTCTTTGTAGGAACTGTGAAGCTGACTCTGAATACTGTAGCTCTGCAGCTATCTGTTTTTATAGCGGGGGCCATGATGAAGCAGCAGAATGAATGCCTCACTTTTTATGTTTGCCCTTGGATTATCAACCTACAAACTGTCTGCATCTGGATGTATAGATCCACCCACAACACAATATCCAGGAGCTGAGAAAACCCCAGGAAAGAGATCTAGATAAATACCTCCCTCCCCTGGAAGGAGTGATTTACTAAAGTGGAACCTCTCACAAGACCCCACATGAGAGATGTACACTTTATAACACCCTGAGTAAGCACAGTGAAATCATGCCGCCTTTGAAATTGCAGCTCATTTCAAGGAGTCGTTTTGTGTCAATTTATGCAGAAAATCCAAGAGCCTGCAATAAGAATGCAGATGCATGTACAAAATCTAGCCATAGTATTTGTGACAGTCCCTCCCTTTTCCCTGCTTAATTTCAGTCTTTCATCTCCATCTCTGCCTCTCTACTCAGGCACCCTGACCCAGTTCATCCTGGTGCTCTATGGCACTGGCCCACCATTGCCTCCGCCTGGCAACAGCAACTGTAAGACCTTGGACCTGAGGCAGATATGCATTGGTAAGAGTGGTCTCTCTTGTTTCCAGTTTATTCTTCCCAGGAAGTTCCTGTCACAGCATCTGAAGGGAGGGGTGGTGTAACTTCTGAGTCAAGCTGAGTTGTGACATGTGAAGTAGCTTGAATAATGTGAGATGAACAAGATGAAATATTATCCTGTACAGTCTGTGCCCAGCTGCATCCATTTACATTATATGCACACACACCTGTTTGAAAGTCACACAGATGTCTTATTAAAACTCTTCTGCAAACTTCACTTGGTGTCAGATGAGATCAAATTAAATTTTACTCCAGGTTCTTTTGAATAATCTCATTTAATTTGATCACTGATGTGCTGCTATCTTCTACCTAATCCAAATACCGCTATAGACAAGGTCTAAGCAGTGAACCTTATTTAAATCCCCAGAGACAAAAGACATGAGTGCAGTGTGAAGTTTGTAAATTTTGAAACAGTGACAGTCTGACCCCTACAGGCTGTCAGAGGTACTTACACACTTGACAGTTGCAATCATATACAGAATCTGAACTGGATTTAATTTTCTTTTTTTTTTATCTTAGCATATGTTATCATCATGTATCAGATTGTTCACACTGAGGCTCACAGCTATAGTTTTCTCTGCTTTTAAACATCGTGACAAGACCCCCGGGGTAAATTAGATTTTCCTCCGTCTGTTGACTCCCCCTCCTGTTTTCAGCTCTGGTAGCCCCAGCACTCACAGTCTGTTAATTGCCATTATAAGCAATGGTCTGCATCTGGACCTGCTGCATAAGGAAGTAAGGAAAGTGGTTTCTTAACTCAGAAATGTTGCACTCAGCATATAAATATCTCCATCAGTTTGTTTTAGTAAGTAAAAGTAATATTAACAAAAACGGAAATACTTAATGACGAATCAAGACTGCCTTGAAACCTTGTCTCACAACCACCCATGGATGAATAAAAACAGAAATGTCAGATGCATTAGACTTTCCTGTTTTAACTGTGCTGTCTGGGCAGGAAACCTGGTTTTGTTTTTGGCTTGTCTGAGTCATATGAAGAGAAAAAAGTATGCAGCTGTTTATTTCTCTCTGTTACAGAGTGCAATGCTGGCTACTACCTCTATCAGCAGGGCTGTGTGGAGCAGTGTCCACCAGGCTTCTCAGTTGGCTCCCAGCCCCTCAATTACACAGTGGGAAACCTGATCACCCCAGCTACTGTCCAAGCCTGCTTGCCCTGCCCACTACCCTGCCTGACCTGCAGCAGCCTCAGCCCTCAGGCCTGCCTGTCCTGTCTCCCTCACCGCTTCCTGGACCCCATCTCTGGCACCTGTGCGCACCTCAACCAGATCATGCGCGAGTCCCCTGGCAGCTTCATGGTGGGCCCTGGAAACCCGGGATCGCAGCTCCAGCTCAGCTCCCAGCTACCCATCACCATCGCCGTGCTCAGCTGCATGGCCATCATTGCCATCTTCGCTGGCATCTTCCTGTTGCTGCAGCTGCGCTCAGGCGCGCTCATCAAGCTGCCTTCTCTGGAGGCTGGCAACAGCCTCGGGGGCAGCTTCAGTCTTGGGGGAAATAGGGTGGTGTCATACCGCGGCATCCCGACAGTGTGGGGGGATGATGGTGTAAATACAGACTCCGAAAACGAAGAGTTTGACGGCCAAAACGAGAGGACTGCCTTTATCAAAACACAAAGTGCTCTTTAATGCCTCACCCACATCCCTTCTCCACTCTTGCTTTTAAAATCCTCTCACCCCCATTTGTCTGATAATTCAGGGCTTTGGTAACGGTCCTTCTACAGTCTTTTCTGGGTTTTACTCTTGCTGCGTTTTCATCCAAGTCCTGCTTCAGGATCTTGTCTTTCACTCTCCTGTGGGAGACCTGATAGGAAGCTGCTGTCTCTCAGAGCTCGGGTTGGCCCAAGCTCTGCTTTGTTCACACTTGGGTGCATTTCTATTAAACTGGCTCTCTCCCTCCTTTTGCCCTCAATCACTGACAGTGTCTGTCTGTACAGAGTCCATTTTCCCCTCCAGCTCCTTTTTCTTACAGTAAACAAGTGATTATTATTTGCTTTCTTCCTCTTTTTTCCTCGTTCCATCAGTCTCAGTGCAGTAGCCAGACGAGATTGTTCAGTGCAAGGAGTTGAGATGTTTGCGTGTGTCTGAATGAATGTATCTTGGTGATTGAGTGTGTAAATCTGATGAACAGTGTAGTGCTCTTTTTCGAGAGGCTAAAGCTGGGCCTGTCACATTCAACCAAAAAAGGTTAAAAAAAAAAAATAATAAAGAAATGTTTAGGTGAATGCCAGTCAGTTCAGAAACATAGAAACAAGTGTTGTTTAGTGACAAAGTCCAAAATCTGCTCAGAAAAGTGCCACCTACTGTATCTGTAGTGATTGACATTTTTAAAGTGCTTTTTAAGAATCAGAAGTATAATTGGTGACAAGGAAACATCCAGGCTTTAATGGTTTATAATTGTGTGTTCCCAGTAAAGGACACAAAACAGACTGTCTGAGAGCTTTCTCTATACGTCATCGCTGTCATCTTTTCTTTCATGATGACACAGTTACAGTCTGTTTACTTAAAAAGAATCCATTATTCAGTCAGTCATTCTTTTTATCTGTAGAGTTACTGTTCTACATGTGATGAGGGCTTTAGTTCTTGTGTTGTACACAGTCTGGAAAGATCGCTGTCAGCCCACCTCAAACTATGTGACACAACTAGAAAAGCTTCCTCTGGCCTTTTGAAATTCACTGAACAACTTTTGGTTTGGAAACTATAAATTTTCCTGTTTTCAGAACCTCCTGACCATCACATGGAAGGGTAAAAAAAAAAAAACATAAAAGGAGAAAAATCGCACACAGACAAGCTACTCGATCAGGCCTGAGGCACAATCCCTTCCGGAGGTATTTAATATCTGTGTGTGATGTGCTCACACCCCGGAGCTGGGAGAGAATCCGTTGGGGTGCGGACGGAGCCGGAGCAATATGTGAACGTGGAGCACAAGAGCTTCTCAAAGCAGCTGGCAGGTGTTGTTACCTTTGATTGATTCATTGACAGAGTAGCAACAGTAGCTCGAGGCTTTCCCTTTTGTCAGAGCACATTAGCATGACCAAACACACATTAGACACCTCATAATGATTGAAAGTTTGTTAGTTTGTGTTTGGGTGTTCATTTATTGCGTTTGATGTTGACAAATGTTTACCTGCCCTCTGAAGTGAAGGTTTCCGTACCTCCTTCGCCTCACAGTCTCTGAGCTCGTCTTTAATTTGAATGTTGTTTAGAAATCCTACTCTGAGACTCCACTTCTCATCAGCGTCTCTGCACTTACCCTCCATTCTTCATCTAGTCTGAATTTTAGACGATCTCTTCAGCATACTTGCCAATTAATTATATTCTGAAAAATACTGCAGAAGACTATTTATTCTGAGAGATTTTAATCATACCATTAGGGAATATTGTTTTAAAGTGATTTTTTTCCCTCCCAGGTTAGTGATCATCTAAAATATGCACCTCATGATTTAATCTAGTGTAGGTATTTTGAATCCATTTATCTGTTTTTCTGCTGTTGTTTTCATTTTAACACAAAACCAGTGGCACTTGCTGAGAGAGGTTATCATAGCGATGACGTGCATACCGAACTGCAGCTGCTCATCCATTTATCTACCTCTCATATCATTCAGCAAGTTAGAGGAGCTGTTAAATGATTATAGAGGTCAAATTATATGTGGGTCAGATATGAAAACACTTCTCCAGAAGAATTTAGGAGGATAGGCATGTAAGTCAAATTTATGTTTTCGAAGAGAAACAAGCTATTGCAATTCAGAAACCGTAAAGCTGCTGTGTCAATTCGAGTCCCCTGAAACTCCTATCGCTCCTAAAACAAATTGCCTTTAAGATCAGCATTCATAGGCAGCCACACCTAGGCTATAAAACCTGTCACTGAAAGTAGAATAGGTAGGAGGGTTGTCCATAGATCATGTTGGTCATCTGAAGTGCTAAATCAATCAAATTGTTATTTGTCATACTCAGTTTCTACTTGGGTGGCTGCATCTGGGGTTAAGACATTTATTGTTGTTCTTAAGTTTTTGTCACTGACAATCAAACAGTTTCCTTGTTTTGAGGGCAGGAAGGTGCACAAGCACATAGACATCACTTTGAATTTAACCACTTGTGTTGGGAAGCTTTCTCTGGGAAGATTATAAATATTTTGAATATAATTGAAATAGCAAAAACATGTTCTGAGAGAAAGTAAAAGAAAAACAAATTGAAATAGCAGCAAATAAGAGTCTGAAACCAATACCTGACAAAATGCCTGTGCAAAAGGATGGAGAAAGATCGGTATGTAGCCTCAGAAACACAGCACTGCACCAGACGGCTGGTGCAGGTGTAGCACATTTGGCTTTTTGTAACAATTTCAAGCCAGGAAGCTCTAAACTGGATTGGAAACCAACCAGAGAATGTGGATTTAGAGAAAATGCCCTCAGAAGGAACAAAGCTACTGTTGGCTGCAGAACAGTGAGTGTGTGTGTGCTGCATGGCTTTGCATTAGTGCCTACTGACATTTAGGTTTTGATTAGCACCAGTGTGAGGAGGGTGCTGGTTCAAAAATGTAATATCCACAGACTCAGACCTGAGAAATTCTATTGACTTCCCAGCTTGGTGTAAAGTGTGTAAACAACAGATAATGGACTAATGCGGCGTGAAAATTGCTTCCATAAACTATTTTCTTAAACTCTGGATGCTCAGTTTGCTTTTGTAGAAGTCAATAATGTGGCACTTTGACCAATTTGTATAGATAATTGATACTCATTCTCATCAGCATTTTATATTCTTCATCTTCCCTCAGAAAAGGTTTGTCTCTTCCAGAAGTCCTACAGTTTCTCCTAACATTTGGCATTTTGGGGTGTTCAGACAGGTTTCTCTGGCCCTTGAGTGCGCCCACAAAATGATTTCTACACCTTGTTTTCACTACAGCTTGATAAAGTCATTCTGTCATCTGATGAAGTCTGTGAGCTCTGTGCTTTGTGTAAGTGCTCAACATTTTAAGAAAACTATGAATGGTGGCAGCATTAAGTGTTTCCAAAGCACAGGCAGCTGCTGAATACTATTAGCAGCCAGCTCACAACTTTCACTGCAAGAATGTGATGTAAAGGTAGACACTAAAAAATAAGAGGTTCTCTAATTGTGCCAGAAAGCGGCTTCTAATTAACCAACCACTTCACTGGCACTAAAGTGTGAAGCCTTTAAATATAGAAAGTAACAGGGATGTTACAAAAAATCTGCTTGTTGGAAAATGTCTCCTCTGATTAAAAAGAAAAGACTCCCTCACGGGCACAATGGAGACTTTTTCTTTACTTCACTGATTTCTTTCATGTGGAGCTTGGTGTTGCTTCAGTCCTGCCTTAGGATGTAGTCTGAAGTGGTCAATATGAAGTCGGATGGAGTTAATAGGAGCAATATCTTTGGCATAACCAAAGACAATCATTTTAATGCTGTTTGTTTTGTGTTAGGACGTGTTGCTTTCAGGCTGTCACAATCCATCGAGCCCCTCACTTGTGTTCCGAGTGTCTTGTTGATATCGTCTGCGGCCGTTTGAAGATCTGCGATGACACCTTGGATGTTCAGCAGCTGTGGAGGGAGGAGGTAGAATGTATCCCATCTCCATTAATTTAAGGGCTGAATCAGATCTGCGTGCGTCCATCTGTGCACATGCTTGTTTAATGAAACACTTTGTGATGGGGCGGTTAGTGCAGCAGGCTCAAACGACTCTGCTGTCCTCCCCCCCCCGCTGCCTCTTCGTGACGGTCCTGGCCTGTGGCTGCACACAGTACCTTAGAGATTTGTGACATATGAATAATGAACAAGACATGTGGGACAAAACTCTAAAATAAGGCCTATTTTTGTACTATATGAATGGTGCAGTGTGATTTTCTTGTAATTTAAAGATGGTTTTGCTTTTGTTTTCTCCTTTTTATTTAATTGATGTCAATTATAGATTCTACTAAAATAAAGATCTATGCAAATTTGAATGTGTTTTTATTCATTTCAAGTAAATATAACTTGCATGTAACGTGTTAAAGATGGTGGATGTGGTTAACATCATATTGGCTTCATCACTGTGTTAGGATATTGAGGTTACCATTTGGCACCATTGTGCCAAAATACACCCTCAGAGAGCTGCTAGCATGTACGGTTAAAAGAAAGAAAGAAAGTTAAAAATGGTAATATTCCAGCAGCTTGGGTGCCAGAAAACAATCATCTTTTATAAATACAGGGTTTCTCCCCCTTAAGTTTTAAATGAAATCATATTTCTTCACATTAAAAAATAAATTACTAACCTTTAAAGCCCAGGGATTTTCCTTTATAAAAATTATAAAATTTAAGTTTATTACAACAATATGTTGCTAATTTTAGACTATATAAAGTAATATTAGTAAGTATTCATTTCAGTTCACAGGAGTCTGTTTTTCATTTGACAAAGAACTTAGTTGTAGCTCAATTATATTATTATAGCAGAATATATGCTATAATATGTTTCATATTTTTCACTTATTTCAGTGTTTCATTGTCCCACTTTGGAAAATATGGTTTGAAATGTGGGGCAGCCTGGTTTGACTAATGTGGGACAGTTATTTCTGTTCATAATTTGGGGTATACACATTTAAGTACAATAAATACATCTCCTGTAATTCAGGAGTTCCTTGTCTTGTAATGCTTAATGTTTAGTTATTTTAAGCAGGTTGCATATATATATATATAGTAATTTCCAACTCATTTTTAATTCAGTGATCAAAACTGTTGAAGTGACTGTTTAACGTGATAGCAATGGATTTCAGTCACACAGATATCAGGCATTTAAAGCTACTGTGGTTGATTTGTGGTAAATCATTTATTTTAATTTGCCATAAATATTTTAAGAGATTATAGTTTGTTTGACATGCTCTAAGTCATGCTGCTTTTTGTCTCGCAGGGGGCACTTAGAGAAAATAGATTTATCAGTATCAATGCCACTGAAGTGACAGCACATACTGCTGCGCATTTATTCTACTGTAACGGTGACATTGAGACTTCAAACTCTGCAGCATTGTCAGTGTATGGTTTGCTGTAATATGGTTTCTGCTGTAGACGCTATACCTAAATATAAAAGCAGACATTTCCTGTACCGTCTGTAAAATTATTAGGAGCAGTGCTGCATTGTACTGTTGTCGCTTCCTCTCTCCAGCAGGCACAATGAGTGTATTGATGATTTATGGCTGGTGGAATTAAGCTAGTGAGTTTATAGCAGAGGTTGCACCAAACACAATGAAGTAAGCCTGGGTTGGTAAAAAGTGTAAAAAGGAAAAATGAAAGGTAAGTTTTATATAACAAACAGCATCAGCAGTAAAGTGAGTACTGACCACACCAACAGAAGGTTTCAGCACCCTGGGCCCTGGTACAGGTTAAGTGACACCTGCCTATTTCAGACTTCCACATCACTGATTTCTTGAAATGATCTGGTCACCAGATGTCCATTTATAAAAGCAAGCACTTGAATTGATCACTTTCGCACTGATGTGTTAGGCAGCATTTCATATTATAGTTGATTGATGTCGAGCCATATTTTGATTAGTTACTGAGTAGTCAAATCTATAATATATTTTAGAAGGTGATCACATTTTCTCTGTGCAGTCTTTATCATTAGTAGTAAAATAAAATCAGTGGAGTATAAAATAAAATGGTTGCTTTTGAAGTAAAGCAGGGGGCGGTTCTAGAAAATTTGGGGGTGGGGTGGCCAGGCTGGGGCAAAGTGGGGCGGTTTATTTTGTGTCTGAATATTAGTTGTCATTTCAACATGCAGATAAGGCGTGTGTCTAATTCTGTGCTCTTCTCAGTCATTCAGCCTCCGCCTGTTTCACTTCAGCATTTTCTTGTTGACCTATGAATAGTTTAGATATGAACAAGGGAGTAGGCCTAAGCTACAATAGGTGGAGTAGCATCAAGTCACAGTCCATGAGGAGTTCATAATCGTAATGACATGATGACAACAGTCTGTAAAGCTTACCGGTGCAATATGTTTAATCCTCCTGGAGGTCTTGCACGTCCACCTTCTAACTGTGGGAGGACAAATGACTACACTACTGTGTAGGTTGGAGGACTTGTTTTATTTGGTTACTTTATACATTTACAAAACTAGCATGCTTTAATGAAGACCGTATTAATTAATCAGACTTGTTGTGGTATAATACAGTTACCAGCACAACCACGTACAAAATGACAGGAGGAAGTACTGCCTCACACGAACCTCTGTAGTTATTTGTAATTCATAAGGAAGTGAAAGCCCTCAATGGTCATAAAAAAATAGCTTCAGCTCACCACTCTGTTTCTGCCCCACTCATGAGAACAAAGGTGCTGTAGGATCTGAGTGTTTAAAGAGTCACAGATGGGTTTTGGGGAGGACCTGAGGTGTCCCCAGGCACATGCAGCAGTCATCCGGCTGCTGGACTCAGAGCTTCACCTGATGGAGGTCATGAAAAAGTGGATGAGTCAGCGAGCGAAGAGTGAGCGGGAGTTTTCATTGCAGCTGCACCACATGGCTACTGTGGCGGACAAGTTGGACCGACCTCAGCCTGGTGCAGGACTGGACTACATCAGCCAGCTCAACAAGGTGAGGTCTTATAGATCGCATTGCACCTCAATCACCACTGATCACTTGTAATGAAGAAAACCACTTCACAGCAGGTTCATTTTATTTCAAATTAGTTCTGAAAATTAAACTGAAGTTAAAAATGAATGAAAAGTGTTTCTCATTTTTTAACCCTGCTGTTATGTTAAAATCTAAAAACAATAGTTAAAAGTATTTTATTGGTATGAAAGTTCTGCTTGGCTTAATTGGTGTAATCAACATATAAAATGAATTGTATTTTATATGTACGTAGGTCTTTCCAATGTACATTAAAAAAAGTTTTAACATGCATCTTTATGAAAAACGCGTGCATTATCCTCATTGAACCATAATCTGTGAGAGGTGAAGAACACCACTGCACTAAATAGTGATTGAAATGGTTAGTAATGGTAAAATTAACCCAGGAACATCACTGCTGTTCCTGAGAAATGAACATAACAGGAGGGTTAAAGTTGCTTATTAAAATAGATTGGCCACAGCCATTTTGTTTATGTTTTTAAATATCTGACATAGTTATACTGGGGGAAATACTGTTTTGCTGTTGGTTTCTGACTTGTTTCTGACCTTGGCCTTGACCGTCAGTCATGGGGAGTGCTGGTCTCTCAGACGGACTCTCTCAGTCAGCTGATGAAGAAGCGCTCTGAGGACCTGCTCGACGGTCCCATCAGCAAACTGACACTGCTCATCAGAGATAAACAGCAGCTCCGAAAAACCTACACAGAGCAGTGGAACCTGTTGAGACAGGAGCTCAGCAGGGTGTGCAAATAACACACACACACACACACACTAAAAGCTAATCTAAACAAATGCACAGTATTTATTTATACATACTGCATAAAGTTTATTTGGTAGATCAGTGGTAGAGTATTAACTACAAATATTAAAAGAAAGCCAGAGTTGTTGCTGTAAAAACTACTTGTTGGTTTTCTCGCGTGCATCATCTTGATATGCAGATGAGCACCACAGCGGCAGCCCTATAAACAGACAGCAGTCAAATGAAATGAGGTTTGATAACTGGGAAGTGTGTGCGCAAATGCGTTTTTGAAGCCGGTGGCTGTTGCATGCTGTTTTTATTACCCAATTACATGAAGCAAATGATGTGTTCATTTTCAGTGATCCATGCTGGGTAGCAGTTTGGCCATCTCACAGGCATTTTGCTTATTTTAATTTCTTTACTTTTCCATGCAGACAAAGCTCAGAGTTAGTCTTGTTTACATTGCTGTGGTTATACAATAGTTTGACTTTATAGTTTGTGACTGCAACTGAACAATAATGTTATCAGGTGGAGTGCTGCCACCTGCAGCATAACAAAGGTCAGATCATTTCCTCATAGGTCATATCTCATATTCTGTGTTCCTCTGCAGTAAAACATAACTATATGGCCCTGCTCACATTTAGTAAAGGAGCCGTTAACCACACAAATAGCTCCTGAGAATCATGCCTATCTTATATTATATATATCTTTGTATATTTTCCATCTGTTTGTGTGCTGTAAAAGATACTGTTGTGTGTCTGTGTGCTGCTTCAGGTGACCCAAACAGAGCTGGAGAGGCTGAAGAGCAGTTACAGACAAGCAGCGAAAGATACAGCTCAGGCCAAGAGGAAGTACCAGGAGGCCCATAAAGGTGGGGATTCCTGGCAGCACTTACTTCTCTGAACAGAGTTTCATACTGATGACACAGTATGCCTTTTGTTGGTTTGTATTTTTAAGTGTAGGGAGTGTTTCCTTATCCAGTTCAAGAGTCTGAGAACAAGGAGTCATATGCTGTATAAATTATAAATCTCCTTGAGGCACATCTGTGATTTGTGATATTGGTCCATCTAAAATTTGACTAATGTAAATATGACGTGTATTTCCATCATCACATAATGTGTTGTCCCTCCCTGTATGTGTCTGGACAGACAAAGAGCAAGACAAGGCTAAAGAGCGTTACATAAAGGCTGTACTGAAACTTCACGGGCTGCACAATGAGTATGTCCTGTCTGTGCGAGCCGCCCAGGTTTACCATCAACACCACTACAGTCAGCTCCAACCCACCCTGCTCAGCGCGCTGCAGATGCTGCAGCAGGAGATGGTGCTCATACTGTAAGATGTGTGTGTGTATGTGTGTGAAAAAGGGAAAAGCTGCCCTCAAATCACATTTTATTTAACCACAGAATGAAAAACTACAAAAACCAAACATTTACAGCAGCAATTTGTTTTAATTATTGGCAGATGTTTATGCAAAATCAACAAGCATAGGCTTGAAATGTGAGTGCAGGTAATACAACATTTAGTTTATTTTCCATCAACTTTATGTTACAGTACATTTATGTAAATGGAATTTGCCATTGAGAGCAGCAACTGTTGTGACAGCCTTTCATTGTTTGTGCACTCGGGAAAGCATTGTTCATCCAAGATTCAAAAGTTGCCTACTGAAAACAGGTATATAGTGAGAAAATTACATGTTATCAAAGAGGAGAGGAACTGGATAATCAGACTAATCTTGTTTGCAACCAACCAAACTAATTTTTTTTTTTTTTTACAGAGCAGAAATGTAATATCCTTTAAATCCTGGAACAGGCCCACAGCTGGCACTCATGTGTAACTCTGTTCTCCTGTGCCCTTACCGACCTCTAAACCAGAAAGGAGATACTGCAGGAGTATTTTGACATCTCTACTCTACTACATCGTGAAGTGGTGCAGATCCACAGGGAGATGTCTTCTGCCCTAGTGGACATCGATCCCCACAGAGAGTATGAGAACTTCATCCAACAAAACAGGTGGACAGATGCACATCTTTCCCCTCCACTATTCAATCTTGACAGTCCACCCTGAGGAACAACATTACCAATAACTGTGTGTGTGTGTGTGTGTGTGTGTGTGTGTGTGTGTGTGAGATAGGTCTGTGGGGGAGATTCCCGCTTGTACAGAGTTTGACTGTGGTCTTCTGGAGGACACCGAGCAGCTGAAACCCAGAGAGATTGAACTGAACGACCTCACACTTGAGACAATCCAGCACAAGTGAGATCAAACTCTCAATCTCATCCAGATGACTAAACTCCTTTTTCCTTTTTTTAAAGTCTCAACTAACTTCTTCCTCTTTTTAGCTCCTATTTCCTTCAAGTATTTCCATCTCCTAACAATGACTGTGTCTTATTCTCCCAGACTGACTGCGCTAGAGGAGGAGCTGCTGGACCTGGCTCAAAGTCTGGGCTCCCAGCAGGTCTTGGTCGATCAGCTGGAGCTGGAGCTGGAGGCAGAGCAGGAAGGTGTCAGAAAGGGCCAGAGGTGAGCGCATCCCAGACAGGAGGCGGAATCAATACCGTTCATGGTGCTGTCTTCAGAGGTTACAGAGAAGGTTTCAAAATTAAAAACACAATGCCCTTGGTAGTTCTGAAGACAAATGACTGGAGTTTGCCTCTGCGGGCCGTCCTTCCCGTTGGGGGTTTTCAGCGTGCTCTTGACTGAGCAATAAGTGTGGTCTCAGGGGGCAGCAAGCACTTTATGAATTATAATACAGCGATGTGGTCAGAGTTATGGGGCTCAAGCCCCTCATTTGTCTTGGTTGGCGAGACTGTATGAAGGTGTTGCAGGCTTGCAGTCCCGTGGGAGTGACAGTCATTAACAAGCTCCTGGAGGACAACTGCAACCTGTATTTATTTGCAAAAAGTTGAAACCTTTTAAAGGCAGCTGGAGAACACATATGGTGGTGGTGGTGTTCGTGAGCCGAGTGGAGGTTGTGTTGCCCTTTGGTCAGATTTTTGAAGAAACATTTTGTAAATTAACAATGACAAGTTATTTTAGGCTGACCTAGTGTGGCCCCTTGTAGCTGGCAATCTGTTTACCTGAGGCTGAGGTCGCACATCTGTGGCTCCTACTCACCATCACTTTAAGATCCTTTCAGAGGTTTTTGTTAATTAAGCTTTCTTCAGGTTAGTTGGTGCATAATGACACATTGTTAGCATTTGCCCTACACACTCATTTTATTTAATTTAGAGTTGTTTATTTAACAGGGAATGATGAACACTGTTACATAGAGATAAACAGAGCAGCAGATGTAGTGTATGAAGGCTTCTAGCTAATTTGCAGCCCCTCCATTCCTGGTTATGCTTTTAAATTGAGATTAAAACATATCTGGACATTTTAATTGTATAACATCATCATTCATATCACCTTCATCAGCAGATGGAGTTTGCACAGTTGTTTGACAATTGTAATTTTTTTTTAGCACTTTAAGGACTTCTTCTTCATGTTGGCCTGAAAGAAATATTTGACATTTTGAGAATTAGCTTTTGTTCTTATTTTTCACAGATCACTCGATTGTGTATTATGAGACTGATAGGTATGGTGTATGTTGTTGTGTGGCTCTCGTTTTTGTTGCCATTTTTGGCCAGGTCTCTCTTCCGCTGTACCAGAGTCAAGTTCCTCGTGTGTCCAACATACTTGGCCAGTAAAGCTGATTCTGATTCAAGAGACTTCCAGGTTAAATAGAGGCTAAATTAAAATAAATAAATAGATAAAATTTTATTCATTTCCTGGTAGAAGGTCACAAGAGAAGACACCATGAACATGTCTGTATGAATATGCAGCTACCACCAAAAGACGGTTTATTTTAGCACAAAAACAGGAAATGGAAGGGAACTGCTAGCCTGGCTCTGTGCAAAGGTAAAAATAAGTAATCAATTTTATCTGACCAACCATGTAACACCAAAACATTCCAGTATACAAGGAAAAAGCAGCAAATCTTCAATATATTTGGCATTTAGCTTTAAAAATGACTGCAGCATATAACTATTATACAGATTGTTGCTGATTTTTTTCTTAACATTTAATTGTTTCAGCTCCAGTCAAATTAAAGCAAACAAGTCACTGGGAGAATAATGTAGCTCATCATTATAGTGTGTGCACTGCACTCCAAGGAACTTGGAGGTTCCTTTAATCCCAATAACATGTTCAAGTCTCTGTAATATGATGGTGTGATCAATGGTGTCAAAAGCCACACTGAAATCTAAGAGGACAACTATGGAGATGAGGGTTGTTTTAACTTTTGTTTAAAGCTTTGTGCTGCTCACACCAAAAAGGTTCTACACAAATGTAATGCATCTTCCCTGATATACACATGCTCTCTGCTTTGTCCAGGGTCTACCAGTTCAGCAAGAGTGGAAGAGCTTCGGCAGCAGGTTGCTCTGTCTCAGGGCATGAGAGCCAAGTTGGAGGTTCAGAGGCTTATTCTGAAAAAAAGACTGGATCAGCTGGGCTGCAATGAACCTCCCAGTGGTCTGAAGCTAGACTCAGAAACTGTTTCACTTTCATCCAACATAAGAAATGTATGCTCTTACTTTCAAAGGCTGCCCTTCCTCTTTATTTAAGATCTTGATCCTAGTTTTAGTTTCTGTTGGCCAGCCAGGTGTAAAGAAAAAAAAAAGTCACTGTTTGGAGGTCACAGCTGCTGCATGTTGCTGTAATTTTTTTCTGACAACAGTACAGTCTTTAGATCCAGATGTGATCATCTCATGTATCCTCTGTTATCTGTCTGCTGCTATGCACTGACTAACAGAACTTTCCCTCCTCCTCTCGTAACATGATCAGCTGCTGTCACATCAC